ATTTCAGTGGTCATAGTTTAGTCAACTAGTTTATGGAACAAAATATATATCTAGTCAAGGTTTATCTGAGAATATTTGGTTTTTCATCCAAGCTTTATCTACATAGCACATGATAATTAAAAGTACCAGACTGGTGGAACTAACCTTCTTGGATGTTTAACAGCCATACTTTGAGGCCTATACTAATCTGGTCAGAGGGACTTAAAGGACAGGTTTTGCCCCTTGCCCTCCAAGGTTGACTAAGTTCCAGGGACTATGAAACATCTCTCAAAATGTCCTGTAACTGTGGTGATTCACCTGTCCTCTTGTTCAGGGAGGCCATGGAGACCCCACCAGATGGACTTGAACCAGTGTTCAGTCTACAAAGAGGAGAATCAACACAGAGGAAATGTCTCATCCATGCTTCCACATGAAGCCAGATATGGTCGAGTAGGGCCTTTACTTATCTTCACATAGATAGAACTAGTAAAAGAAAGGAGTCAGGGGCTCCTCTCATGTGACCCCCTGAGGAACAGATCCTCAAATGATCTTAAGTGTAAACATAAATTGATTTCTTTTGGCTAATTATATGGTCTTAAAGACCCAAAAGGAAAGTATAACCAAAGAGTAAAGTCATCAGTATATTTCTTTAAGAGTTCAAGTAGCCCCCAAAGCCTATGAGTAGCTTAGTTTTTTTTTTTCAAATCCAACTTTGCTGGATAGCTTTAGTGTCAACTTGACACCTGGGTTGAGGGAGCCTCAATCGGGAAATTGCCTCTATTGGACTGGCCTGTGGCCATGTCTGAAGGGCATCTTCTTGATGAGTGATGTGGGAGGGCCCAGCCCACTGTGGGTGGTGCCACCACTGGGCAGGTGGGCCTTTGTTGCATAAGAAAGCAGGCTTAGCAGGGGCCAGGAGAACAAGCCAGTAAGCAGCATTCCTCCATGGCCTGTGCTCCAGCTCCTGCTTCCAGGTTCCTGCCCTGAGTTCCTACCTTGGGCTCCCTGATGAACTGTGACCTGGGAGATGTAAGCTGAATAAACCCTTTCCTCCCCAAGTTGGTATTGGTCAGAGTATTTTGTCACAGCAATGAACAAAAAACTAGGACAGACAATTATTTCTCATTGATGATTTTCTTCCTAATCAGAAAGTGCTGCTCATATGTAAGACTTCAAATCTTGGTCTGCAATACTGTAGTGCCCACCTGTAGCTAAGGGAGATAACCCACTATTGTTCTAAAATGATGGATAAATTTGTTTTCTCCCCCTGTCTAGAAGCTTTGAGAGGGAACTGACACTGATTCTAACTACTCCAACAGCTATCAAAATACCTGAAAGCAAATTCTGAATCCATCACTTTGTCTAGCCTTGGCAGACAAAACAAAAATGAGGAAGAACCCAACAGAGGGATGCTTTTGGAAGTTCTCGTCAAGAAATTCCACTGGACTCTCATATGAACATTTGAAAATTGCCCTGTTCTGACTTTTTTCTAGTTCCCTGTCTAGAACTTGTAATGCTAATTACTCTTACCTTTACTTCTCCTTCACATCCCCTATTCATCAGTCAAGTACTTTCTTTTCTCCCTACAGATAAAAGTTATGCAATTTGGGAGTCTTTCAGATAGACCCAATGAAGAGGTACCCCAATTACCTCACCCCGCATCCCTGTTCAGCATGGAAGAAGCCATAGTGGTCTGCATCCCGATTCCCTATCAGCATTTTGGGTAACCTCTTCAGAGGATGGTGTGGTAAGAAAAGGAGGTAGGAAGTGGCTAGGCTCTTAGGGTAAAAAAGACCCCAAAGAAAAGTAGCCAGTTTCTTAGCTAAAAGTCCAAATGTCCTTGGGCCTCTTAGCAACATACTCTGTTCCAAAGGCCAAAAATGACAATAGTATTTGGGAGCCCTTATCTAATCCTAAAAAGATTTTAGGGTTACCTCTTCAGAGGGGTAATGTTAGAGTAGCAAAAAGCCCCATAAAAGAGAGAAAGAGAGAGAGAGAGAGAGAGAGAGAGAGAGAGAGAAAGAAAGAGAGAAAGAGAGAAAGAGAGAAAGAGAGAAAGAGAGAAAGAGAGAAAGAGAGAAAGAGAGAAAGAGAGAAAGAGAGAAAGAGAGAAAGAGAGAAAGAGAGAAAGAGAGAAAGAGAGAAAGAGAGAAAGAGAGAAAGAGAGAAAGAGAGAAAGAGAGAAAGAGAGAAAGAGAGAAAGAGAGAAAGAGAGAAAGAGAGAAAGAGAGAAAGAGAGAAAGAGAGAAAGAGAGAAAGAGAGAAAGAGAGAAAGAGAGAAAGAGAGAAAGAGAGAAAGAGAGAAAGAGAGAAAGAAAGAAAGAAAGAAAGAAAGAAAGAAAGAAAGAAAGAAAGAAAGAAAGAAAGAAAACACACACACACACATGCACACACACATATGGTATTTTCAGAGTTATCTTAAATTTTACATAAAATTCATTATTAGAGATAAAAATATGACTATCAAGAATCAATATACTATTGTCCCCAGGAACATTAGCCGTAGAGTCAAACACAGAAGTGGATCAACCAGGAGGCTGCCTGTCAGTCTGAACTTAGTACATGTGGAAACCCATATTTCCTATTGTGTTAGCACATGTGTCTTTATATACTAACCAGTACTAGTAGCAATGTTAGAGATAATAACTGAGAACAGTAGGTACAACCAAATCTTTCTTTTTTAAGAAAAGACTTCACTCATACTAATGGAAAGGAAAGGAAACAGAAAGGAATCAGACATTGTGTCTTACTTTTTTTAATTCCATAATCAGACCACTTACTACCGTTCCCATCTTGTTCTTATTCTACAGAACTCCATGCCCTGCTTGACTCTGGAGCTTAAAGCTCAGGTTAAGAAAAGCAGCAGGAAAACAAAACCCAAACAACTTCGAAACATTATAAATAAAATAGCATCAAGAGAGTATACCACGTCTGCTTCAGATACTTGAAACATTATAAACAAAATAGCATTAAGAGAGTAAACCATGTCTGCTTCAAATACTTGACTTAAAGCAAGACAAGGCTGGAAATACAGCCTGACTTCCTCCTGGGCTGGAGCTATTTTGAAATGATTATAACATAAATAGAAGCAGAGACGTTTACTTGGCTAAACTTCCTTTTAAGGACAGCCATGATTCAGAGCACTATAAAACGGTAAACACTGAAGAGGTTTTCCGAGGTACCGCTGAGGGACAGAAGGAGGAGGAGACCGTTAAGCTTTGGCTCATTCTTCGCCACTTCTTTTCTGCTTCTCTGCTTCATGTTCTAAAAGACCTAGCAGTCAGTTTAAAAAAAAGGCTGGGAAGGTGAGCAGTAAGGCGGAGGAGTTGTGTTAACATGTATTAAGAGGCTGATTTAAGTTCAGCTGTCAAAACTACACATATGAAAGCTAGCCTTGGAGAAAAGTATTAGTTATGCTTCAGCAGATTATAAAATGTGACTTTCAAAGCTATAAATTCAATGATTTAATTGTTCGAAACAGTTAACTGGCAAGAGAGAAGCTATGACTCTCTGTCTATTTATGGTTCTGCCCACAGGCCATTTTTCAAGCTGAATGGCTGAATACAGTATTGCAAACTCTTACACCATCAGAAAGAAAGAAAATGTCCCCACAAGAAATAACATTTCCTATAGGCGATAATATCCCCTTTTCCCTTCCCATGTTCACTTTAAACAAAGTTTGATTTATATGAAAAGACCACACTTTGTAAATTTAATTAGATAAATACGTTGTTACTGCCTCTGAACGTTGCATGTTCTTAGCAGGATTTGTTTTTGTTTTTTTTTTCCTAACGCCAAAGAAATATTTGGCATATCCACCAACGGTAAGCAGGAAGGCAACTTACTTGTCCTGTGTGCCAGCACTCCACTAGCTCCTTATCGGTGTTCTTGCCTTCCAGGAGGGTGAGCTGCTCGGCCCAGGTCTTCAGAAGAGTGCTAAACTGTTCCAGGGCCTGCTCGAGTTGGGCCACCTGGCCGGAGAACTCTTGCTCTGAAAGGGCCATTTCACTAACCAGGTTCTCCAGGTCGCTCTGCGCCTGGAACACGCCGTCTTCCCACAGTCTCCAGTCTGCGCGCAGGGCCTGCATCTCTACTTGCATGAGCTCACACCCACTGGCAGCTGTGTTCGGTTTCACTGCTGGGGCCAGCAACTCCACTCTGCTCAGGCGGCCTGCACCGATCTCCCTGGAATATATCAGCTCCTGTAATGGAATATTGCCATGGAAACCAAGGAGGCGGTGGGTGAGTCACTTGGGCTGCAAGTTTTCAAATGTGTACAGAAAGGGACTCTATCTGTCCTGCTCGGACGTTTGAGCAGATGTGTTTAGGGAATGCGACTGGAGATGTCCACACACTCCCAAGTTAAATGAGCGGGACTCAGTATTGTGAGTGCTTAATTTGTAACAAAATCAGAGAGTGCCAAGGACCTCACACAGGCCAGACAGGCACACTGAACACAAGCATTGCTTGAATGCATGCAAGTGGTTTGACAGAGGCTTAGATATTTGCCTGCGGTGTATTGTTTCTATAAATTAAAACCAAAAAATCCTATTTCTCCTTAAGTAGATAGACAAATGCACATTCCACAGAACTGTGTCCCCTACGTGGTCTCCAGCCTATTTCTATCATAAGGGGTGGCTTAAATTGTATTTCTGCTCTGCTGGGAGTCAGGCTGACCCATGACAAGGAGAGAACAAACCCTACTCAATCTCAGATACTCAGTATCTTAAGAAGGCATTTTTATAGCCACAAAAATTAATAGTTCACAGACTGACTTAATTAAAGTAAACTCTAGTCCTGGGTTTGTTCATCCCTTTATTACTCCCTTAAAAAGTAATTCTCGGCTGGAGAGATGGTGCAGTGGTTAAAAACACTGGTTGTTTTTGCAGAAGACCCGGGTTCAAATCCCAGCACCCACAAGGCAGCTAACAACAGTCCATAACTCCAGTTCATAGGGATCCGATGGCCTCTTCTGTCCTCTGCAGGCACTGTACGACACGGGTGCACTTACCTACATGCAGGCAATACATGCATACACATAAAAATAAAATTAATAAATAAAATATTAAAAAAATTTAACCAGTTCCTCAGTCACATAAGCTGTCTTTCAAGTGCTAAACAGGTACCTATGGTTGGCAGCTACTTGACAAGCACATAAAAATAAAAGTAATAAATAAAATAGTAAAAAAATAATTCTCCCTAGAAGTTTGACAATTCTGATATTGCTTTAAGTTTTGAGGCTCATATATAGAAAGGGCAGTAAAATGTCATTAAAATATGCATTGTGGAATAGGTAAGTAGTGGCATTTCTTTCTGAAAGTAAAAGCTTTTAATGACATTTTTCTTGCTAAAATAGTAATCCATCTAGTTCTTCTATATTTGTCTATGTGCTGCTAAAGCTAGATTTTGTTAGTATTAGCACAAAATGATGTCTCCACTCCTGTATAAAATAGAAGGAAATGGTGATTATTAGGGAAAACAAAAACTTCAAGGACAAGATCACTTGCAGGTTAACAGGAGAAAAACTGAGGCACTAAGTACTATACATTTTTCATAGGTTATGTTAAACAAAAAGTATATTTTAGTCTATATAACATAAACATGATTTCATTTAATCAGCCTGAAGTAAATCTGTCTTCTCACATTAATAGACAAGAGATCCACACTTTGTTGTAAATCATTTGTAAATACTTAGCACAATTACATGTAATGTGATTTCACACACCTGTAAATGTATTCTTGCACACAGCACTTTATATATACATAGCTGACCTTTCCTGGCAGCAGGATTCGCAAGGCCATCTCTGGTTATCAGTACACATAGTAGTGGTTTGATAAAGAAAAATAATAACTTAGAGAGTGCTGTATCTAGCAAATATTTTTTAAAGCATGGTATCTGACTTTATAAACATTTTCAAATTTGGAATTCAGATTGTCAACTGTGAAAAAAATCAGTTTTCCCCAAATACCATCTTTATTCATTAGTTCAGTTTTACTTGGCATGAAAATAGGTCATTTGCTGGCACTAATATGTTCTCATCTAACACCTTACAGATTCACTCATTTAAATATATTCTCTCCCCCCCCCATGTGTGTATGTTGGGGGCATATGCATGTAAGTGTGTGGGTGCACTTGGCCCATGGGTGCACATGTAGAGGTCAGAGAAAGACTTCAGGAGTCTTCCTCTACCCCTCTCTGCTTCACTGCCCTGAGACAAGGTCTCACTGAACCGGAAGCTCATTTCATCTAGGCTGGCCATCCCCCAAGATCTTGGAATCCACTGCTTCTGCCCAGCAATGCTGGTTACAGACACACAGCTGTGCCCAGCTATTTACATAAGTACTGAGGTTTCACACTCAGGTCCTCATACTTGAAGAGCAAGTGCTTTTATACACTGAGCTATCTCCTCAGCCCCCTTCCACATTTCAATAAGGGCACTGTCATTATAAAGTGCTTTGAGTTAGATTTTATTTTTTTGCCTTTTAGAGACAGGGTCTCCCTATAGCCCTAGCAGGCCTGGAACTCACACTATGTAGACCAGGCTGACCTCTGTCTCACAGAGACTCCTAAGTGCTGGTATTAAAGACATGAGCCACCGCACTGGGCTCTTTGAGTTAGATTTTTGTATTTATCTTTTGTCTTGTGTTGGAGCTCTTTGAAAACATCTACACATGGATACAGATGTGAATTCTCTCCATCTGTGTAAACACTAGCTTCAGAGTTTCCTCTTCTGGGTGTGTACTCCAGGGGGATGGGTTTGGCCATGGCACTGTAGGGCAGGTGCAGAGGAGAAACCTCCTCTAAGGTTTATCCTCACCCACCACCTTACATTGAGGCTGGGTCTGACTTGTAAAGGGCAGCATTTGTAAAGAATTAATAATTCTTTCAAAACTTTTTAAGAGCTTGATGCATCTTTGCTATCTCCTCTTCCTCACCTGTCATACCCTCTTAACTCCATTTAATCTGGTTTGTCACTTCCTCCAGCTGTGGAAATGGTTCTCAGGCTGCCAAAAGACCAACTATCAAATCCAGAGGGGGCTCTTCAGCCTCTGAGGTGATGCTGACAATGTCCTCTTGGGTCCACATTCTCTTGTCTCCACTTAATATTATTTCTCCTCTCCTTTTTCTTCCTCTCTTTAACTCCATTACATCTTAAATGTGCCCGGGCTTTGGTTCTGTATCCACTGTTCTGTTTGCTGGACATTAGTCTTGGATTTATTCTCTTAACACTTCAACTATAAACTATATAATAGTAATTCCCAATGCATCTGTTCAATCCGGCTTCTAACTTGAATGAATGATACAAGTATCCAACTACCTCTTGGACGTTACTCCCACCTGGTGGCTCTAGCTTGTTCTGTTCAGTCCTGAGCTTTCTTATCTTCCCATCTCCAAAAGGCTTCTGAACATATATCCATTTTCCTTGGGTGATGAGGGCTCTGTTAACTAGTGGCAAAGACCTGACCTTCACCCTTGACTCATTTACTTCTTTACTTATTAGTTTTCATTCATCATTTAATTTCTTTTGAGACCAGGTCTCATTATACATCCCAGGCTTGCCTGGGACTTGCTATACAGACCAGGGTGACCTTGAGCATGTGGCAATTCTCTTGCCTCTGCCTCTCGAGTTCTGACACTGCAGCTGTGTGCCACCATGGATCACTGGATTTCTTCCTGAGTATGCTTTATGTGTCAGGAATGATACTAAGTATTTTGTATGAATGATCTTATCTAGTTCTCCAAACACCTCTATGAAGCTACTTCTTTATGAGTATAGATTTTTATTCTTTAAAAAAATCCAATTAAATCTGTACTTGAGTGTGGACTTTCCAGCACAGCTGTAAATATGGGGCACCTACTCTTCTGTAAATAAACTCCCCCTATGCTCTGTTAGTAAACCCAATAAACTAGGATTTTCAAAAAAGAAAAGAAAAAGAAAATTGAAACTTTCATAATTCCACCAAAATTCACCCCATGTTGGCAATTTCTTTGGTCTTTGATTTTTTTTTTTTTTTTTTTGGTCTTTTTGAGACAGGGTCTCCCTGTGACCCCACTGGCCTGGAGCTTGATGTGTGAACTGGGGTGGTGTCAAACTCATGGAGATCTGCTGGGCTCTCCCTCCCAAGTGATGGGATTGAGGATGTGTGCCACCATGCCCAGCTTTAGTCTTTGATTTCTTTCTCTTTTTTTAACTTTTTAAAAATTTTTTATTTATTTTTTATTTTACGTGTATGCGTGTATCACCTGCATATAGGTAAGTGCACCCATGTTGTGCAATGCCCACAGAGGACAAAAGAGGCTGTCGAATCCTCTAGAACTGGAGTTACGGACAGTTGTTAGCTGCCATGTGGGTGCTGGGTTTTGAACCCAGGTCTTCTGCAAGAACAACCAGTGTTCTCAACCACTGAGCCATCTTTGCAGCCCCTAGTCTTTGATTTCTTATCCCTACTTTTCTACCCTTAAACGTCATTGTATATATGTTTTGATGTAACCTGCTTCAAGTTGTTCCTGGAAAAATGTGTTAAAAATTGCCTCTCTTTGGAATAATAAAAATATTCTTTAAAAAAAAAACGATTAAGAAGTAGAAACTAGAGCATTGAGGACATTGATCACAGTGACCTTTCTAAAGATACAGCTAGAAAATCAGGAGACGGAAGTAGTGTAGCCATCTGGGTTCAGAGCCTGAACTCTAAAAAGCTTAGTGAGCTCTGGTTACCTTGGTTCTGTCAGGCCAGCAGTATGGTGTATATTTCTTGGTCTCTCACATGACGGTAATAAACATATTTGCCCACAGAAACACACAGATAAAGCCACATTGTCAATAAATTCATTTGACTTGTTTTCTTAATCTTATTTATGTTTAGAATTACCAAGGAAGAAGCTATAAGCACCAGGAAAAACCAGGAAAGAAACAATTCAAAAATAGAACCTTACCCACCAAACCCTTATCACTAATCTGTTATCTGTACTCAAGAACCCAAGGAGCGGTGCAACATAATATCAGTCCATTTTCTGACCTTAATTTTCAACAGCTTTTTCTGGGTAGCTGATGAATCCCCAGACACATCTGACCAACGATGAAGCTCTTCCTTCGCTGAATGGAGCCAATCTGTGAATCCTGGACTGCATCTAAGTACATGAGGTGGTCTTTCACAATGTCTTCCACTTTCCTTATTTTTTCCTAGTTAAGGAAGAAAAGGTGACCTTAGAAGTTATTGCGAATACCAAATCAGATAACATGACAGACTCCACAGAGGTCTCGCTGCATCTTGGAAGACCCTGTTTTTATTCTTGAATGGTCTCTTAGTTTAGTATCTTAAAAAGAAATAAATCTTAGACTTCAAAGCTCTGAGGAAACAAATATTTTTCCTATAAGTTTACTATTTTGTACTGTAGCTTAAAATTCTGTGCCTAACAGCTGGCCAAAATGTAGAGAGCAAGAGACTACAGAGTGTTTCACTGGATAAGACTCCTATATTAAATTTCTGTCATCCAGGGCTCAGAGATCATTGCAGAAGAGGGAAAGACTAAGAGCCAGGGGTGGTGTACGGCCACAAGGAAACAGTTTTCCAGGCGACTGAGAACTTGCTCATCTGAACTTACATCAAAGATAACAGCATGCACAAAGCCCATGCAAACTCAAACCACACTAAAACTCAGCATAGAAATGGAGAAATGGGTAAGGAGCCCCAGCTTTAGCTGAGGAACTATAGGCAACTGATCAATACCGGGTGAGGGAGAGTTGGTTTTCTTTAAGGGGCTAACCCTAGATAGGTTGCCCAGGCTCTAGTGGATGGACTCACAGTGAAGGACTTCTGGGGACTCAAATTTGACTTGATAGGCTTTAACTTATATGATAGAATGCATGAAATCTGGTGGAGGGGCTATGGAAGGAGTAGCGTATGAGAGGGCTCTAAATATGATCAAGATGGATTGTATGGAATGCACGAAAATTCAATAAAAAATTAAAATATCTATGGTTAATAAATGTTGACAATGAATAAAATTTGACCCTCATAAACTAATTAACCACAACTATTATAGACAACTATTATAGGAATTATTCTGATTTTGGAGTAGTTACTTGTGGTATATAGCATTCTTTACAACATTTTATGATTTTTTTATGATTTTTTAATTTTATGTGTATGAGTATATTGCCTGCATGTATGTAACTGTACCCATGTCATGCAATGCTCATGGAGATCAGAAGAGGGTATTGGATCCCCTGGAACTGGAGTTACAGACAGTTATTAACCACATGTGGGTGCTGGGAACCAAACCCAGGTCCTCTGCAAGAGCAGCAAGTGCTCTTAACCGCTGAGCCCTCTTCACAGCATTTTAAAGGCATCTATTTAGCCTTCACCACAGACCTGTGCTATAGATACTGTGGAAACCACATGTCACAGCAAAGGACACACAAGCTTAGAAAGACTTAGAAAGACCTTGAATAACACACTCAAAGACACACATCCAAAAAGAGAGAATTCAAAGATATGCCTTTTTCCAAGATAATGATAAGGAGAAGAAAATAGAAAATTATTGTGTCAACAAGGTAGAGTTCTCAAAAAGGCAAACCAAACTAGGGAAAAACAAAAACAAAATTTCCATTAGTTTATATAGCATCCACAAATATATATGTTCTGGTTTGTTTCTTCATTGCTGTGACAAACACTCTGACCACTACTAACTTGGGGAGGAAAGGCTTTATTCAGCTTGCATCTCTCAGGTCACAGTTCATCAGGGAGCCCAAGGTAGGAACTCAGGGCAGGAACATAGACTGTAGAATACAGCTCACTGGCTTGCTTCCCAAGCCCGGGTTCAGCCTGCTTTCTTATACAACCCAGAACCATCTGCCAAGGGGTGGCACTGCCCACAGTGGGTAGGACCCTCCCACATCACTGATCAAGAAAATGCCCCATAGATGCGGCCACAGGCCAGTCCAATAGAGGCAATCCCCCAACTGAGGCTCCCTCAACCCAGGTGTGTCAAGTTGACACTAAAGCTATCCAGCACAATAAAAAAGTAAAATCATGGAGGAAAATTGACATTCATATAGAAAACTGAAAAGAAATGTTGATATCCCATGAAATAGCCTGTAGTTTGGAGACTAGGGAGACACATATTTTACCAACATGAGAAATGAACGCACTGCTTCATGCGTGGTTGAAAGTGAACAGTACAGAAACTTGCATTTAATGTAGCAAATGGAGATTTGGGGACAGGATGAGAGCATGAAGCACTGGCCGTGGTGCACAGCTTTGCAAAGAAAGCAGACGAGTCAGTCAACAGTGCCGATACGAACAAAAATGAAAAGATAAAGTAATCCCAAGATTGCAGTGCATGTGAATATTCAAGGGTGTAGGTGGAAAATGATCTTTTTCTAGATTAATTTTCAGGTTAGAATACATAGTAATTGGCTTCATCGTGGCATGTTCACATGTGTGTGGCACTGCATACTCTTCTCATTCGTTCCCCTCCCCGCGTCCCTTCCCCAAGTTGAGTTGTTCTCTTTCTTCCCCCCGTTAGTCTCACCATTGGCTTTCCTGTTATATATACCACCTCATTCTCTCTAGTTCCTACCTTTTGAAAATTGATCGTTGTGTAATGTCTAGTCACTAAACACACACATAGTTTTAGAGCAGCCAAATCCAGTAACTTAATCCACATTCTATTCCTTATCTGAGCCTTGGAGCTTCGTCTTGGGTCTAAAGTACTCACCTTGGCCACAGTTATTATATCCTGAAACTGTGTCCTTAGCTCCTCCTGGCTGGCTTCCTTGAAGGATTCATCCTGACTCTTCTCATACAGCTCCCTGGACTTAGCCATTAGATGCTGCAGAGCTCCAGCATGATCTTCCGCCTCAGAGACGATGGACTGGAAATGGTCCAGCAGGGAAAACTTCTCCTTCAGCCCCGGCTGCAGCTGTAAGGGCTGCTCAACTTTCTGGTCCACTGATTCCATCCACTGCTCCAGCTGGCTTCTCCTCTCCAGACAGTCACCCCATTGGCCAATCACAGATACCAGGGTGCTGGAATTAATGTCACATATTGTGAAAAGGAGCTTCTGCCTTGCTAGCTGTACCAAAACCCAATTATAAGGTTGATGCACTCATATAAATTGTTTTACTGAATATTACTGTAATGAAAAAAAGTTACTTTTGATTGCAGGGAGAGATAGCTTTTTTGATCTATCACAACTAGAGCAGAACTTCTTCAAACAAAATAAATGTATGCTAAAATGTGAAGGAAGAAATTGTGCATGTGTAGCGGCTACAGTTTGAGCAAGTGATGGATGTTCACTTACTATGTGATCCAAACTCCAGGATAGTGGGGGCCTATGCAAGGGAGGCCAGGGCGTTCACTGATCATTCACTGAGCTTAGTGAGTTTGCAGGGCAGTGGTTGATCACTTCCCAGAACGCTAGAGACTCTGAGTTTGAATGGTGATAGGGTTAGTGGTCATAGAGAGAGAAGAGAGAAGGGAGGGAGGAAAAAGAGGAGAGATAGATATATGATAGATGATAGATGATGAATGACAGATAGATGATATATATATATATAAATGATAGATGATGGATGAAAGATAGGTGATGGATAGATGCTAGATAGGTGATAGATATGTTGATAGATGATAGATACATAGATAGATAGATGACAGATGATTGATAGATGACGTATTATAGATGGTAGATAGGTAGATGATAGGTGATAGATAGCTAGATGGTAGATAGATGATAGAAGATAGATAGATAGATAGATAGATAGATGATAGACTTTGCAAGTCTTTCCTTATTGCCAGTCTGGGAAGCATTTTACTTGCCTATTAGGAAACCTGGTGACTTGACTATTATATTTTTGACAATGTTTCTTAGAAATGCATTGAGTCTTCATTCATTCACACATTTAACACAAAATTGGCTACTATGTGTGCATGCATCCTTAAATGAAAGTCTAATGATATTATTTACCTAAGAAAAAAATGTCTTAAATTTGAATATCAATCAACAAATAATTACCATTTGATTTTAGTAATATAGACTAAGTCCAAGAAAACTAAGATTGATATATACTGAGTAGAGTTTAATTAATACTGTAGTGCTGAGCTTTAATGGTCACAATATAATATGTATGTTATCTACTCACTTAGGATATTAGCATCTGGAAGATAGATGCCTGCATATGTGTGCATGTGGGTATGTGTGCATGTGTGTGCAACGCATGGATAGGAGCCGTATCACATGCATTTTAGAGTCCTATCCTTTCATCAGATAATTTTCCTGAACTCCAGGTCATTCTCTAGAAGTCGGCAGAGCAGCATTCTTCTCCCACAGCCCAGTGTCTTCTGAAAACTTAGTAACACAATCTGAGTCACAGTTTTCTGGAATGTGTCCTCCTACTCTTGCCTCTGAGCTCTTAGAGGGCAACAAAACTATTTTGTTTGTTTCATTTTGTGACACAATCCTTTGACCACTGAGACCACTTAGTATAAGCTGTAAAATTTAATTTCTTAGTGAAATGGGGTGTCAGGGCTGTGAATCTGCTTCCTCTGCTTAACATTTTATTGTAACATCTAAAAAATCATTCATCCACATTCCTATTCAGTTTTACAAATCTGGCCTATTGCCAAACATTGGGAATTATGTATGCTCCAGTAGCCTACTATAGAATCGGAGAACCCCACAAGAGAACCCGACTCTGCTGACCACTGGGAGTTATGACTGAGATGCAAAGTCCTGTTTGTCTTGAGATTTGCTTTCTATTAAGGTGAAAAACACAAAAGAAAATGAACAAAAGCCACTCTGGTGGTCTGCTTGTATTGTAGTAGACGGGCATAGTGGAGTTTCTGTTTGGTCAGGAACTTTCATGTTCCGTCATCTGTACAGGGAGTGGTCGTACAACATACAGTCTTCAGAATGTGCTTTCTGGACTGTGTTCTGGCTAATTCTCACAGATAGTCATTTGCCCAACAAGCCAATTAGATATGTATAGATAATCTGAAGGAAGGGAGGGGAAGGTGACAGGCTTCTGTTCACAACAAATAGCGACAAGTGTTCTCTATGTATTCACCAGTGTCTGATGCAGGGTGGGTGTACACCATCACACCCGGTTTGTGCGGGGCTGGGGATTGGTACCCTGGGTTTTGCACATGCTAGGTAAACTCTCTACCAACTGAGCATCATCCTCAGCTGCCTGCTGATGTGAACGCATCATTTCCTGTGAATGGCGCTCTTACTGAAACACTGATTAGCACGTGTCCAGGAGGTGGCCATTCTGTCTCTCCAGTTCACATCCAGGTATGGCCGATGTTTTCAGGAACCCACAGACATCCGCTGTGTTCTATAGGCTGCCTGTGCACCCACACATTTCCTGGATCTGTATGTTAACTTGACACCTTCAAACCTCAACAGTCTGGTGGCTGCCACACTGCGTCTGGCTCTGCCCAGTGCCTCCCTTCCCTTGGGAGGCATATGCTAGGGGTGCAATATTTAGTCTTCCCAGCTGGCACTCCTGGGCAAAGATTTGAGGGTGTCACCCATCTTCAGAGCTTCCTTGGCAAGGTTTGTTCCTCCTCCCTCCTCCCTCCCTCCCTCCTTTCCTTTTTTCCCTTCCCTTCCTTCCAACATTAATGAAATTTTAAATGACAAAGGAAAACTGTGAGTATTAAAAGCGACAAGTTATATTTAATACATGGATACACACTGTCTCATTCTGTTAAGCATCTCTCATCACAAAACTCTATCATTCTATGGTGAGAACTTTCATTATACTTTCCTTATGGTTCTTGAAACATGTATTGCATAATTGTGACCTATAGTCACCTACCATGCCTACTGTGGAACAGCACTGCAGAAGTTTCTTCTCCTGTCTAAGAATAACTTGTCTCCATTGACCATCCTTTCCCACCCTCCCTCCCCAGACATTTACTGGCTGATGCTCAGAGAGCTGACATCCTACAAAATCTGAAACATTCTTATGCTGATATTTGGCTGCATAAGAATGTTCCAGACCTTGTAGGATGTTAGCTCTCTGAGCATCAGCCAATAAATATCTGGAAATCCCTAACATTGTGACAATCAGATATCCCCCTCTGCACCCCCATACACATTTCCTCCAATACCAGTATAGGCAAAATTACTACTGGGATCTAAGTTATTAAACAACCATATATTTTTACTTTGATGACTTAAAAGAGTTATTTCCATAAACCAATGTTATGTACAATATTCTGAAAGAGATATTCTGGGGACCAAAATATATTTTGGAAAAGAAAATCTAGAAACAAAGCAAGCAAACATATCAGAGCCATTCTTGGGCCCATGGGGAATTCAACACAAGCAAAGACAGGCACGCTACCTAAAATAACATGCTTTATAACTCCACCACCAGCCACTTGAGTGCTATCTTAGGATTTTATGACTCTACCAGGTTTTATTTGAGCAGATAAGCATTAAAAGCAGGGGCTGTACCTCTGTGCCTGAACAGCAGAGCTCATGATGTCAGCCCACAATGGTCTGAGGGTTTCTAGTTGAGCCTGGATTGCCTGCTGCCCCTGCTTGTTGCTGCTTCTCAAGGCCTGGTCCCCTTTGCCAATGGCCATGTTCAACTTTACTTCTCCTTCACCTTTCATCAGGAGAATGTCCTAGGGAGGAAGAATGAAACTCTGTTAGTTGAAATATGAAATATGAAAATTATTTTTAAAAATGCTATTTTCCCATGAGAAATAAGCAGAGGTAGTAGGGGGGTGATTGCTTAATACTTGCTTTGCAACTGTGAGAACCTAAGTTCAACCCCCAGAGCTCATGTTTAAAAAGCTGGAGATTTCTGGGTGTGGTGGTGCATGTCTTTATTCCCAGCACTTGAGAGGCAGAGGCAGGCAGATCGCCATGAGACTGAGACCAGCCTGGTCTACATAGTGACTTCTGGGCTGCTAGGGAAGCAGAGATAGACAGATCCAGGGGTTACCTGGTTTTCTGCCTTAGGGAGCTCCAGGCTAATTAGAGATCCTGTCTCCTCTCTCAAAAAACATGGTGGATGATGACTAGAGAAGACTCATTGAGGCCGACCTCTGGCCTCCACAGGCATGCATATGTGCATGTGTGCACACATGCACACACACACACACACACACATACACACACACACAATTGAGGTATGGAATACCTTGCCTTAAAGTGAAGGCAATACACTTTAAATAAGCTTTAGGCTTAAAGTGATATATGCTAGATATCAGGAAGTCTGAGGGCCAAAGATCACTTAAATGGCAGAAACTTTGGGTCACTAGCCCATAAATTGAAACTCTATTGATTGATTTAAAGGAGAGATGATAAATTATTTAGAAATGTAGATGCGTCTGTCAATAGCTTTCCTTTGTTGCCTGGTGAATTCCCATTGTCCAAGGTCATGTTCACTAACTATGTTCTGTACTGGAGAACTGACTTCGCTTCCAATGAGCCCTTAGGGTTCCATTCACAGTCCCTACTTGCGCTCTGCACTAAGTAACAATTCACACACTGGTCTCTGTAGCCAGACCATGATTCTGGGAGCATCAGTATTGACTTCTATTTCTATATTCCCTTAAACTTGCAAAATACTTGGAGCAGAGTAGGCATTCAATAATGTTTAATGATTAATTACTGAATAAAACAAAATATTTTAAAGCTATTTAAACAGAAATGCGAAGGCTGGAGAGATGGCTCAGTGGTTAAGAACTGCACTTGCAGAGGAACCACTTCCAGGGAATCCAACACCCTCTTCTGACCTCTGCAGGCACGGCATGGCATGTGTGCACTTATATATATGCAGGCAATACACTCATACACATAAAATAAGAATAAATATTTGTAAAATAAACAAAAGAAAACAAAATTGCTCCTTTCAAAAGAGGAAGAAAAACGCTCTATGCTGTTTTTGCCAAATTTTCCCCATTTCTGCATCTTTACCTGATACTTACAGGACAACTGTGACCAGCTTTAGCCCCTGAAAATCTAATCATATCAATCAGCAGCAATTGCGGGCTGCAGATTGACTCTCTGCAGTTCATTGGGCTGGGCTACACATACCTGTATCTGTGACAGCCGTCGTTCCAAGGTGTCCTTGCTCCCAAAGGTGCTCTCTGCACAGACCAACCTGTCTTGAATGTCTTTCACCCGGGACCACATGCTCTGCAGGGCTTCTTCCAGAGCCTCATGCTCCTGCAGGGCCAGCTGGCAGGTACATAGTCTTTCCTTGGTCACCCTGAGAAGGTTCTGGTAGCTGGTGAGGAGCTGGGTGCACCGGCGGCCTCCCTTCCCTGCACCATGGCCTTCTTCGCTGAGAACCTGCCCTCTCTGGGAGAGCTTGTCAAGGGACTCTCTAGACAAACAGAAATTTTGTTTTTTTAAATTCCAACATTCTAGAGTGCAGAGGAATGGCAAATGACTGTTGATATTGGATCAGGAACCAGACAACGGCTCATGGCTGACCTGCCTTTAACATTAAGATGCTGGGGATTGAACTGGCTACTGGTCTTCTTGAATGGGCTTTCTTAATGCAGTCAGTGCCTGTCAGGAGATGTGAGTCTGTTTATGCTGTGTCTGCATCTGAGTTACAGTGGCAGAGCCTCTGTATCACTAAGAATTCAGTCCAGAACGTGGGTTTGACTTATCTCTACTATCTCTCCATTCTATTTGACACTCTAGCCATGAAAAGCTTCCAGAAATTTCCCATATACTCTGCTGTTCTATCTATACATGGATGGTATGGTATGGATGTGAAACGTCTCTATAGGCTCCTGGGTCTGCACAAGTCCTGTTGTGAATCTGTTGGGAAGTTTGTGGCACCTTCAGGAGATATAGGCTTGCTGAAGGAAACAGGTCACAGGGGCAAGCCTTGATGGTTTTTAGTCTCTACTTGCTGTTCACTCTCTGCCTCCTGACTATGGCTACAATGTGATCAGATGGCTGGCCTCCGCCTCCTGCTGCCTAGCCTGCCCCACTATGATGGACTGCAACTTCTCTGAACTCTAAACCAGAATAAAGCCTGCTTTCCTTCCTCTTGTCTGTGTTTTGTCTCAGCGATGAGAGAAGTGATGTAATGGGCATTTCTCCTTTGGGATGCCTCTGATCACTTGTTATATTCTAAGTTGTCCCTTTAAAACTCAACACAGGCATCCCATCCCCAGGCAGTATCCATGACTCCCCTAGTGCCCTCTGTTCTTGTCTCACCCCCTCACTTAACACATCCATGTCCACTCACAAGTCCACCACATCCAGCCTCTGTTCCCAGGATCCAGCACAATGTTGAGCAGAGACGAGAAAGGAGGAAAGCTCCTCTCAAAAGTTGTGGAAGGAGCTAACGAGTTTCCTTGTCGTACCCTGAACAGTGTGCTCATTTCTCTGTGCAGCTATGTTATTTAGGTCAAGGGGGAAATTCTTATTCACTCCATGGCTTGGTACCCTGGTTTGTAGTTCTGAATTCTTAGTGGAACTTGGTCATCTACTTACTTTATTTGTTTTTAAATTATAAATTAACAATTTGCAATTTGTAATGATGGAAATTCGTGGTTTATAAAGTGATAACTGTGGCTTATGAATACATTGTAGGGTAATTAAATTAATCTGGGTAATGTAGCAATCACGTCAGATACTTTTTGTGGTGAGAACATTAGAAAATTATTTTTGTAGGAATTTAAAAATATACAACACTCTATTTTTAACTTCACTCATCACACTGTGCGACAGAACTAGGATGGAAACAAAACAAAACTAAACAAAACTTCGTATTTCTCTCAAGTAGGATTTTGTACCTTTTGACTGTCATCTCCTCATACCATTTTTAGTTCAAAGCTTCTGTGAATACCAGTCTCTAAACACCAGTTCAAAGGCTCTGTGAACACCACACAGCTTGGACCTCTTATTAGCACATCTGTCAGAGAAAACCAGAGTGCTCTGCAGGAGCAGGATGTCTCAATCAGAAATGTTGTGAGTTGGAGAGATGGCCCAGTTGATAAAAATGCTTGCTGTGTAAGCACGAGGAACTGAGTTCAGATCCCCAGAAACCACATCAAATCTGAACATGCTGATATGTTCCTGTAATTCCAGGGTCAGGGGAGCAGAGACAGATGGATCTCGAGCTTTCTGGACAGTTGGCCTAGCCCAATTGATGAGCGTTAGATTCAGTGAGAGACATTCTCTCAAAAAATAGACACCTAGCATTGACCTCTGGCCTCCACATGCACAAGTACACACACATAAACATGCATGTATACATAAACCACACACATACAAACACAACTGGTGTGCTTACTAGAAAAAGAACATATACATATACCTTCTACAATGACTCGGTAATTTTTCCCAAATGACCACTATATAAACATCATCTTTGAACTACTCTGAGATACAGTTATTCAAAATGATACCTCCTTCAAAATACACCAAGTATACTTGCAATCAGTATGGCAAGAAGGTGCAATGAGGTGAATTAAATAATGGTTAACAAAAGACTATTGGTTAATAAAGGATGATTTTCTCAATGGATGATGAAGATTCTGAGTCTTGGGTCTGTGTAATTTTTTCCACAAGGAATCTCCCTCAAGTATTTGAAGCACTGGACAGATCAGGAGGGAAAATATCCAGATCAGGTGTCTATTTTTTGAGAGACGGTCTCTCACTGACTCTAAAGCTCATCCAAAATATCTGAAAGAAGCAAGCATCATGCACGCAAAGAACTAGAAAGGATATTTTGCTTAGTGTGGTACAGAGCTGTAATCCCAACACTTGAGCACCTGTGCAGGAGGATCCTGAGTTGAACAACAGCCTGGAGTACATAATGAGACCCGTGAAAAAAATTAAAGAAGTGACCCCGCATGCAAATCTGAACGATCAGCCCACTTCTCGTGCTGGAAGGGGTCAGTGTGGAAGGAAGGAATCCAAAAACACATATACCTGAGGTCACTTAGCAGCTCATCCCAGAACACCAGAGCATAAAGCTTTGAGAACAATGTGCCTATGAAGGCTGTGGTGATTAGAAAAAGAATGAGGGCTAGGCATGGGGGTGTGTACGCTTTTAATCACAGCACTGAGGAGGTAGAGACAGGCAGATGGTGTCCCTGGGGTTCACTAGCCAGCCAGCCTAGTCTGCTTGAAGTGAGAGACCTTGTCTCAAAACAACAGGGTGAACAGTGCCCAAGGAAAGACAGGTAAGGTTTTCCTCTGGCCTTTACATGTAAGCATTCACACACACACACACACACACACACACACACACACACACACACACCTACAGAGAGTGAGAGCGAGAGCAAGAGTGAGAGCGAGCGAGAAACAGACAGAGAAAGAGAGACAAACACAGAGAATGAATCTGGTAATATGTCACTTCCTCCACAGCAGTTTTGGCATAAGGATAGCAAGTTAACCAGTGAGAGAGGAAGACAGAAAGCAGCCTACGAAGAAATGAGAGCCAGGAGTACACAAAGTCATTTATAAAGTCTGGAAGAAAGACACATGTGGGTTTAGTTATGTTCTATTATATTTAGACAAAAGTCAAGATTTAAAAAGCAAAATAGAGTATAATTTTCAGAGAGTTATATTGTGAGAATGATGTTAACTCTGTGAATATTTTTTATTTTTCTAGCAGTACACTAGACAACAGCAAGATGAAAGTGGTACAACCTGAGGTCTCGGGGGGGATGTCCAGAGATGGACGTGAAGCATGCCAGGGACGTTTATGATGTCATCAAGCTTGCATGCCAAGCACGGCGGGTCCTCCTCCTCAAGCTCTACAGCTCCAAACTGAAAGCAATGCGCTGTGTTTTTAACACCATGTCTGTACTGAACATGCACAGACTCTTGTCCTTCTCATTACTCCCCCAACAATATAGCACCACAGCTCTGTACTCTGAATTTACTTTGTATTAGAAGTAATCTGGAGCTGATCTAAACTACACAGGGGGGATACAAGAAGGTTATCTGAAACAATACGCCATTTCACACAGGGATTGAGCACCCAAGGATTCTGATCTCTGTAGTGGTCCTGGACACAACCCCAAAGATATAACTGGATGATTTTAGTCATGATACAGGCTTTGTTGTTCATTTGCTCACATGGTTGTTTTTCACAGTAATGATAATACTAGCATCCTTGACCATAAACAGAACTCAGAGGACTGGAAAATGACTGTGGGCTGAATTAAGCAATTTTTACTTAGCCTATGATTTTTGTTGATTTGTTTAAGAAGAGTAAGCTCTGTCCTCTTCTGTTTCATAGACAAATATACTCTCTCTTCAAGAGAGTCATTGTGGAGTCCAAGTTCTGGGCTGAGTTGCACTCCCCTGATGGAGAGCCTTCTATCTTTCAATAGAGAGGCAGAAGTGGTAAGTGCTAGAGGTGGAGCCTACAGATGCTGGTGGCAACATTGAAAGTGCAGATGAGAGACTCTGCCCAGGGAAGGAGCCAGGGCAGCAGTAAGGACAGAAGTCTGCAGCTGAGGAGGGTACCACAGGAAGGTGAGACCTAACAGTCACAACCCTTACTTCATTAGCAATGTGGACCGATGGATAGGAATAGGGCTAGAATCTGCAACGTGTGAGGAATATACAGAAGGTGGGTCTGTCCACAGCTGCATTCTTCTATCTTTACTGTCCCTGTGGATTTTGTAGTTTTTAGTTTTTTTTCTTCATATCTGCTTCTCCTTATAGTAATCAACTTAAGCTAACCCTAGAAAGGGAAGCACAGCATTCTTAACTCAATCTTGAGAAGCTAAAATTTCGGGGGGCTGGAGAGATGGCTCAAAAGTTATGAGCCCTGGCTGCTCTTGCAGAGGACCCTAGTTTAGTTCCCAGTACTCATGGCAGTTAACAGTAACTCCAGTCACAGGGTATCTGTTGCTCTCTTCTGTCCTCCAGACATTGTAGGCATACATGCGGTGCACTCCCATACATGCCGACAAAACACACACAAAACAAAAATAAATAAAATGTTTAAAAAGCTAAAAGTTAGAAAGCGACACAACCTGCCAAGTTTCTTGGGTAAAGAGAGATGAAACCGGGGTGTAAATGAACACCGTGTTTCCATCACACGTTATCTGTGGAAAACACCCTCCATGAAGACTACAGCATGGTTCTTCGATATGCTTTTTAGATATTCAGGAATAGAAGAAACCAACAACAACCAACCAGTCAATCATCCCAACAACCAAGCCAGTCACTAACTAACCAGGCTAAACACATCAGCAAGTCAATAACCTACTCCACTTCTGCACCACACCTGGCAGCCAGGACTTCTCCCAGAAACATTTCAACTTTATGAACTTCATTTTTCTTCTCAGGAACATGCTGTTTACTCTCTCCAAAGTTTTCTGTGTTTAACCTTTCTTCCATCTCATGAATCCATAAATTCAGTTTTCTGTGCTGATCCTCGAAGCTAAAGAAAAGAAAAACATCTTAGAGAAACCCTGAGGTGTTTGTTACAGTTCTGACAGCTGAGGTCATGACATTTTTTTTTAATTAAATTTTTTGAGGGTTTCTCATAATACTACATTCTGAACATACAAAAGGTACAAAATGAATTTTTTTCCAGACTATTCCAAAGGATGGTGCCAGTCTATCATTGTCTGCAAAGCACCTTCACATATTGCCTCTGTAGGACATTTTGTCTCTTAAAGTAAGACACCATATGTCCATACTGAATGGGAGGAAAGAGGGTCCACTAGAGGGTTCTTAGTTTCATTCATAAAGGAACTGAAGAATGGAGCCAAACGTCAGAGAGCAGACAGATTTACAGAGACCCACATGACTGTGGATGGTCAGAAGTTCTGTGGAGTTCTGCATTGCAAAGTGGGATTCCAGGCAGGAAAAATTTGCTACCTCATTAACGTACCAGGTATTCTGCCCAGTCACAGTATCTTCTATATGGTAATTAAGACCTTACAAATTTTCAAGTTATGGAGAAAATTCAGCAATAAGCTTTCCCAAATGGTCACGAATTTTAATAAAATGTGCAAATCATGGTATGTTTAAGGTTTGAAGTGGAAAATAAGTTATTTCTCTTAGCTGAATTAATTTCATAACGGCTAATGGACAGTGAGGGTTTATTCCCATGTCAATATGCACTTAAGATTGTGTCTCACAACAGTGACCCTTGAATTGGGGCCAGTGGGTAAATGGGGCAGTAGAAGCCCGGGGGAAAGAAGTGGCCTTCATGTCTTTGTTTATTAAGGGAGTTTGAATGTGGCACAAAAACTCTACATTCTGATAAGAGCATAAGCTCTATTCAAAAACCTGGACAAGAGTCAGGCATATCTGCTGGGCCACAAGAAAGGCAATCTGATCACCCTGCCTCTTCTCCTTGTAGTGAGGATTGTCCCTCTAATTTGATATACTCCTTCATTGATATATAAGTAACTGACTGGACTTTTGATCCAGAGAATCCAATAAATACTTTCTGCCAAGATTATCCTAGCAGAGATGAACACAAGGAGAAAAACAGATAAGCTAAAAGCAAGCATATCAAAGTTCTAATATCTTGATTTAGCCAAAGTGACTAAAATGACATTTGTCATTTTAGCTCATTTGTAATCACCAGTGAGTATTATTCCTCAGGTTTTCCTATGTAGGAAATAAAGCCAAATGAAAACTTCAGAACTAGTCATCAATCTGTGCTTAAGGTGGATCAAAGATCATTATACTTCAAACTCCCAGTTCAAGTATGATTTGCATCCTCAGATGACTCCTTTTCCCTAAGTCTTTGAAAACCCCCTCTGTGTGTGGCTAACCTGCATTTATTAGAACAACCAACCTCCCCAGCTCAGAAGCACAGTCCTGGAGAGCCTGCTTGTCTTTAAGGCATTGTTTCAGGAAGGCGTGAAACTCTTCATTGGCCTTTGTGATTTGCTCCTGGATGCTGCTGACGATCTCCTTGGGCAAATGTGCATACAAAGTTTGTCCTTCTTGAGTCACTGCATCGAGCTGGCTCTGCCCATCACCAACTGAATCCAGGACACCCTGGAAATACATGTTGGATGGTTCATTATAACGAGCAGCTGAGGTAGTAAAGCAGGTGGGAAATAAAGCAGAGCCCAGAGGGAAAAGTTCTAAGAGGGCTGGAGTGCGAAAGTTCATGCAATTGGATAAAAGTGGAGCTCCTAACTGAAGACAGTACCAGGTAGCCATTGGAACCAACGATGGAATGCCAGGAACAAGTTGGAATGGAGGAAGTCCTCACTAGCGACCTGTTCTTAATGTCTCAGCCTCCCAGGTCCCATCTCCTCAAGTGATTAGCATGACAGTCCTGTAACCAGAATGCCACTCCACCTCCTCTTCCTCTTCCTCCTTTTCTTCCGGTCTACTCTGCACACAAAGTCCATTCCTCAGGAATGGGACGTTCCTTCCTTCACATATACCTCTTCCTTGGAAGTTCTATGCCTGGGCTTCCAGTAAGCAAGGGAAGCCCAGAATTCAGTGCTGGCTGTTTCTCCCTTGAACTCCAGAATGCTTTCAGTGGTCACCCAAACATTTCTGTGTGGAATCCAACTGCCTTGAGCTTTCTAGAGGGCAATTCCACACCTGAATTTACCACGCCTCCTGCAAAGCCATCATCATGTGCTGTGATAATCTTCTCACCCTGAGTTCTAATACAATAGGTTACTGGCAGTATTTTTATCACCTGTTGGGCCAAAAAATTCTCATGGTCCTCATTAGGGCTATTTTTATAGTCTTATTATACAGTCTAGCCTGGCCTTGAACTTGAGATCCTCCTGTGTTTGCTTCCATATGCTGGGATCACAGGCATACGCCACCACATATTGTCTCATTAATTTTTATAAAACATTTGCTTTACAATACTTTACATTGTGTTTTGCTCAGATAAACTGCTATGAAAACTTGGCTAAAACCTCATTTAAACTTATTCTTCTGTAAGTTCTTTTTGGCCTATACTTCACAATGGCTTCTTCCTGAATCTACACATGTTCCTTAGTCAGTAAAACCCAAATGACCTATTACCATTACTTAATTTGTAATACATTTTCAAACTTAGACTCTAAGTATTTTTAGAAAGATAAAAAGCATGTCTTTCTGAAAAACAAAACAAAAAAGCTCCTCCAATAATAATAGAAAATATTTATGCTTTTGCTGCTATAAAAATTAAAATAAAATTTCATTTTGAATGAATTCCCCAAAATGGTTCGCAGGCCAAAAAGCAAAAAGAAAGAGATCTAGGCATTTTCTAGCTTTGATTTGTTTTCACAATGACTTTTCATGAGTCTGACTCTTGACTCAACAGCCCAGCTGTAAGGAAAGAAGAAAAGATGGCTGAATAAGAAGGTTCTAGAAAGGAATGGCGTGAGCATGAGCCAAGGACCTGGGTGCAGGCTGGGCAGGAGGGGCCGCCAGCTTCGTACCTGAAGGTCATGGAGCCTTGCCTCCAGAACTTGGCTGTCACCACTTTGATCAGATGATTCTCTGGCTGCTGCTTTTGCTTTTGAAAACCATTCTTGGAATTCCTGCATAGAATCTTTTGAAAATAACAAAAATGAGAGAATAAATCCAAATTGTGGAGTGAACTTCTAGGATTATCACAACAAATTATTTCTGAATTTCAGCCCAGCTCATCTGGCCTTATAAAATATTGTGAAAAGAAAATGATGATTTAGAAAATATTATAACATTATCAACAACCAGGGATGATTACCATAGAATGGAGACGTTATCTCAAAGATACTGAAAAGCATCTGAATTCTTGAATACTTGATCTCCCATTGCATTCCTTCATTTTGTAAAGAATTTATGAGAGTGTAAGGAGAGAAAAGAGAGTTAAAGGCATTTGTACATGTTGCATACATGTGTGCATGTGTGTGCATGTGCAAGTGGAGGCTAAAGGTCCATATCAGGTCTCTGCCTCTGCTGCTCTCCAACTTTAAAAACAACATTTATTTATTTATTTATTTATTTTATCTTAGGTGTGTAGTATTTTGCCTGCATGTATGCAAGTACATCACATGCATTCATTGCCCATGAGGGCCAGAAGGTGGTGTCAGATCCTCTGTAACTGGAGTTATGAATGGTTGTTAGTTGCCATGTGGGTGCTGGGAACTGAACCTGAGTCCTCTACAGGAGCAGCCAGCACTCAATCATTGAGCCATCTCTCTAGCACCCCCTCCTTAAATTTTTAAAAATATATTTATTTTCATTGTATGTGTATTTTGCTTGCATGTATGCAAGTGTGCCACATGCACACAATGCCCACAGAGGCCAGAAGGGGGTGTTGGATCCCATGGAACTGGAATGAACAGATGGTTAACTGTCATGTGAGTGCTAGGAACCAAACCTGGGTCCTCTGGAAGAGCAGCTAGTTCTTTCAACTGCTGAACCATGTCTTTAGCCCCGAACTTTATTTTTTGAGACAGGGTCTCTTACTGATTCAGCTAGACTGGTTGGCCAGTAAGCTTCAGTGATCCACCTGTCTACCTCCCTGGTGCTGGGAAGACAGATGTGTATCCCTACATACATTCATCTTTGTATGTAGAGATCTGTACTTAGGCCCTCACGCTTGCATGGCAAGCATTTTACCCACTTAGGCATCTCTCCAGTCCTGAAAGAAAGCCATTTTTATGGCACAGGCAGGAACTAGCTCCTTGAATGATGCATCTGCATCAGAGTAGAGGAACAGCTATACAGAAGTGAAAAAACAGACACAGGACTGACTGTTTTCTGGACTGTGTGGCTGCCATTTCCTGGGCCTCCTCTGATAGCCACATTTATGGCGGTATTTCATCCTAGCAGGAAAAGTCTCTCTGGTTATTTGGTAGCAACTGCTGACCACTTCAACAGAGGCAGTTTTCCACATACCTAAGCTCCATGTAGAATATCTAGACAAAATTCAGAACCATCAAAGTCAATTCCTGCTTTCTCAAGAAGAAACAGAAAGCATCCTACAGGTAGGTGAGAGCCCCGGAACGTCTGCTACTCAAATTTCAAAGCACAGATGAAGCCAAATGCTGTCCTTCTGGAAAGCTGGCTCATACTTTTGTTGGCGGTTTCTAGGCCACATTTGGTCTTAACTTTTTCTCATAAACAACTAATCAGGCTAAAACCTTTCATAGCTCACCATTGAAATGTTTTTCCAGAGAATCCTGCAAGCTGCCTTGGGTTCTGGAGCACAGCTGGCTCGCGGCTTCATGCTTTTTTATTAGTCCAGTCATGGCCCGGCCCAGGCTCTCCAGCTCCACTGAGTGGTACTTCCGGCACAAGCTGTTGAGGTTTTCTTGGGTGGAGCTGATGCTGCCTTGTTGATTTTGAAGTTCTTTTTGTATATCCTACAGAATGAAAACACACCATGAATATACTTGATGGATATTCATCACATCAAGAGAAACACTTCAATTGTTTCACTGTGCTACCTTATTTTAAAAAATCTAAACTTGACAATATTCAAATCTACTGAGTTGTATATGCCTCTTTGTTTTGGTGTGTACATGCATGGGTATCTATTCACATGCATAAAGGTACACATGCGGCATGTGTGCACATATGTGTGGAGGCTAAAGGACAACCTGGGCTGTTTAAGATGCCTCCCACTTTGTTCATTGGAACAAGGTCTTTCATTGGAGTAGAGCTTGCTGACTCAGCTAGGTCTCTAGCCAGCAAGCCCTGGGAATCTACCTGTCTTCCCACCTCCCCCCAGCACTGGGATTGCAACTTTGAATCATGTGCCTAGCACTTTTTTAGGTAAGTTCGGGTGCTCAGGCTTGTGCGGCGAGTAGGTTACCAACTGAGGTATCTCCCCAGCCCCTGTATTGATTCTTTACTAAAACATTCCAGTCCCCCTTGGTAACCAACAGCTCCTGGAAAGTGGCTAGAAACTGATCTGTAGTCTAGGATCTCAAGGAAATCTAGTAGGTTTTATAGCTTTTCAGCTATGATCTGAATTCAGCTCCTCCATTACAATCTGTCGCAGCTTGCTTTCTTTGGTGGGTCACTTGGGATTTTGTTTCAAGATTACAGGCCAGGCCCACACAGTATCACTTAGTTTGAAACTATATGTTCTTGTGTCCAGTGTAGTATAAAACTGTGCTAAAAAAGGAACAGCATAAAGGGCTGGAGAGATGGCTCAACAGTTAAGTACATGTACCGCTCCTGCAGAAGACCTGAGTTTCAGCAATCAAGTTCAGAAGTTCACAGCCACTTGCAACTCCAGCTCCAGGGACTCTAGTGTTCTCTTTTGGATTCCTAGGGTGTCTGCACTCCCTCACATATGCACAAACTCACATACAGATGCAGACATGTACATAATTAAAAATAATTAAATCTTTTTTGGAGAAGGAACAGTGTAGAAATGGCAGAAAAGTCAACACAACACGTGTCCTTCACAGTTGATTGGGATCTTCATCTATTAACATGGAGAAAGGAAATGGATGTTTTCCTGACATTAAAAAATTACAACATTCTGTTCTGTGTGATACACACACACACACACACACACACACACACACACACATACACACAAACACACACAAATCAACAAATTTAAGGAATGAATTATATTTGAGGAGGAAGCATAAAAATTTACATCATGTTAATTAGTAGAGGTGATAAACATTAACATTGAAGTCTAACTGATGACTTTATAGACAGACACAGGTGCCAAGGATCCAAGTGCAACTGATTATGACTAGTAATAATCAGATACATACAGATTAGATGCACCAACATCTCAGTGTTATTAGCCAAAAAAAATGAGTCTTTCTGTAAGAAACAGTATATTTTAAAATGAAATGGAGATCTTTTTTAAAGGTTAAAAATTCATTCAATTTTATGTCTTACAGGGCTTATACTGAGTTCAATATTGTATAACTGTATTAATTTAACAGCAAACCTAAAAATGTTATAACCACTTTTGAAAGAGATGTATCTTTGCTCTGGAAACTGTTATTGAGTATGTTAAAGCTGTAATGAAATGCTTCTTCTAAAAAATTTAAACACATATTTTAAAAAATTACAACATTCTAAAAAAAATTTACAACATTCTATAGATGAAAGTAGTCAAAATAAACCTTAAAACAACTGATGTTCAAGCCTGAAAACTGATGTAAACTTAAACAGGCTTCCCATATCATCACCCTTTTACAAAAAGGAATGTGTGTGTGTGTGTGTTCATCAGCATAGCCTACGGACACAGCCTCCAGTAATCCAGTAATGCTGTCTGCCCTCTCGTTATTCATCTTTCACTTCCTGCTTCTATTTTTTGTTTGTGCTTTTTTTTTTTTAATACAGGCTCTCCCTGAAGCCCCAGCTGGTCTGAAACTCACTATATAGACCAAGCTGGGCTTGATGTCATAGAGATCACCTTGCCTTTGCCTCCTGAGTGCTGGGATTAAAGGTGTATGCCACCAAGCCCACCACGTCTCACTTCTTAGTGTCTGCATTTCGTTCATCCATTGCCCCTTACTCCAATATTAAGAATTAGTCTGGTATTAACACTTTCAATATGGGTAATAGAAAGCATTAGTTATACTTTTATTATGGTTACAAAGTAAAAGGAATATGCCTATCCAAGCAGAAGCACTCATGTTAGTCTGTGAACCTACCTTTACTTTCTTCAACCCTTCACAAGTCTCGCTTTGGGCACAGCTCATCAGCGATTCCTCCACCTTGATCAGCCATGTAGTTTTGTCGTTGACAAATCTATCCACTTGTGTCCTTTGAGTAGTGAAATCTTTCAGGGTTAGTTTTGCTTCTTCGGTGATCTCTTTGGCATGTTCCAGCTTCTGCCTTAAGTCTGCTTCTACAAACTAAATATAAAGTAAGATTTCATGAAAATCTGGGAGGACTGAACGAACACTCATGCGGTAAGAATTCTGTTTACGTGCGACTCCATCAAGAACACATTAGCTTCACCATGGAAGCGTTTCCAATACTAATAGCCTTTCCCAGGAAGGAAAATCAGAGAGTGCACATTGCCAAACATATCTAGTGACGGGAAAATGCGAGGCAGGGATGGCAGCTAACTCTGGATGTTAGAATGTGGTTTTGAGCAAGGTTCCAGGGAAGAGGTGATCACATTCTAAAAGCAAAGCTGGACCCAAAAACCTCTTAATTCTCCATGAGGAACATTCCCACATGGCCTGCCTGGATGTAACTAAGACAGGAAAAAAAATCTACCATAGGATTTAATGATAAAGCAATTTTATTGCTATGTTCTTCTCTACCTGTAAGACATACACTGGGGTTAGCTGTTTTCTTCTATTGGGAGGAAGTATTTCAGGAAAGTTGAATTTTGTGACCTCTAAGTTAATGAAAGGACTTAATGATTGTAAATTGCCAAACAGTCACAATTCCACAACTCAAAGATCAGTGCTATTTTGGAAAAATCTCAAGCATACAGTATTGTTTTTGTTTTTGTTTGCTCCTGGCTCAGAACAGTTGCAAACAGGAAGCAAGAGCCTCTTTCCTTTCTTGTGTCTGTTAACCCTTGCCTGACACAGCTCTAGGTCCTATAAGCTTTAACTGGCAGGTGGTAAGGGGACATGAACTGAAGAATCATCAATTAGAGTGAGCTACCTCTCACATTCCCTTCTTATCTTGGTCTATGGGTTTTTCTGAAAACATCCCATTGTTGGGGACCCAAGCTGAAGGTCCCTAGATGTGCTTGGCCCTCTCCTGTCTCTACTCTGTCCTTTCTTAGCTCAAGGCATCTCTGAGTTCATCCTTCAGAGAGCCTTTTAGGCAACCCAGGTGTCTTCACACTGTGGGCTCATGGAGTGGCCTCTTCCTCCCCTCTGATAGCTTACTTCTGTGCTGAGACCACACTTTGCTAATCACCCCAACAGACACTGAGATGCTGACTACCCATACACCAGGAGTCAGCCAGCCTGCCTCTCAGGGGGCTGGAAATTATACAGTGGTGGTTACCAACTGCAAGGGACACAAGCTGCCCTCTAAGGGGTCTCTTCAAAAATGCTTCTCATCACACCTGAGAAAAGTTAAAGCAACTCATACCTCTTCCTTGCTGATATGCATGCACATGTGCATGAGAGACAGAGAGAGAGAGAGAGAGAGAGAGAGAGAGAGAGAGAGAGAGAGACTGTTGTCCATTGATGCCTCAAGTTTAGGGGACAGTTATAAAGAGTCCTTTTCAGTTCTAAACATGAATGTCACCTCACCTCCTTTGTGTCCACCTTCAAGTGAAATGTCTAACATTTCCATACATGTCTCAGATCAGTGCCAAACACCACTGATTAAGTTAGTGGGAAATAGCATAGAAAACCATGAAAGCAGCTAAAAGAAAGTGGGTAAAGGTGCCACAGAACTCTTGGCCAGGAGCTGTTGGGTCTGGCAGTCACAGCAGACCCACTGCACCGGATGCTTCCAGGTTCAGACACTGGAGTAGCCCAGGTTTCCTGGCCAGCTGGTTCCTCCCTCTCCTGACTCTGGAACGATCTACAAGCCTATGAAGGGCCTAGCAGTGCTGATCCCCAGATCCCAGTTACTCAGTAGATGAATTGGGAAGTTATCAATAAGCATATCAATATTAGCTAGGCGTGGTAGCCCACTCCTTTCATCCCCACACTGGGGAAGCAGAGGCAGGCAGATCTCTGTGAGTTCAAGGACAGACTGGTTCATAAAGTCAGTTCCAGGCCAGCCAGGACTACATAGTAAGACTCTGTCTCAACTCTCCCCTCCCAAAAAAGAACACAAATATTCATCAAGGGGTTTCTATTCCTGTCTAGACATAAAATAGACCATACACACACATATACACACATACATACACATACAGGCCCATGCATACATGTGAATTTTTTATTTTTGGAGTGAGGATATGTATATACACACACACACACGCCTGCCACACACATACCAAAAGCAAACCTCATTGAGTACTTACCTGAAGGTCTGTTGGTGTTTCTGGAGTTTTAGTTAGTTCTTTAAGATCACTGACTTTGGAATGCAGTTCTTCCAATTTCAAGACTTTGTTTTTAACCTCAGACTGTAAAATGAAGATAAAGAGGGAAAAGCATAACTAACCCAAAGCACTGACAGGCTACACTTGACATTTCATAACGGTGCTAACTGTTAAGACACCAATTTGAACAGTGTTTATAAAATCCGCTTCGCTTTATTATGAATATAGAAAATGTTACCATTACAGTTCACTTGGAATGTGAGGAACTCTGTGGAACGTTCTTTACTTCCTCCCTGTTTTATTAGAGAAAGAAATCTCCTGGAAAAAACAAACCACTGACCAAAAGAGTTGAGTCAGTGAGGATTTCCAACAGGCTGTCATTTATTCCGTAGCAGTATTATTACCAGTGACTATGGCAACACCAAAGTCTTGCAGAAACATTTTAAAACAAATGCACAAGAGCATCCAGTGTACAGAGCAGACTGCACACAGGAGAAACGATTCAAACGTTCACAGGACTCAGAGCAGAAGTCAGATCAATTACAACGTTGACATTTGATATTTGTTCTTTTTTGGCACAAACAGTAACGTACAAAAGAACAAGCATTGAGCAAAGATGCCTGTAAACTTCATAGCCATTTTGAGTCGCAAAAGAATATTTAATAAAGGCTCCCTTTCAACTTGAAAAACCGAAACAGTGTTTTGTGGATTGCACTTAGGAAGTAATTCACTGTGAGACGTAGAACTGACTGCCAGGCCTGGTGGCCTTCTGCAGAACCAGCTTGGGTGGTTAGGGAATCTCGTCTACTGACCTCTCTCATGTAGAGCATGGAGACAGGAAGGATGCAGCGGCAGGAAGGGTGCTGCCATGTTGGGCTGGTGCTGGTGCACTAATTTTATTAACCGGGTTGTCACACAGCCCATTTCAGAGAGACTGACCCTGGCTACACTGAATGTGGGTCTGAGGCATACCCCAGAGTTTATGAGGTCAGCAAAAGCAGGCTGGTTTGACAACCCCCTCTCCCAGTAAACCACCACTGCAATCTCTAAGTGTGATGTCAGGACATTCATGGAGCACACGCATCAGAGTAGTACAGCATCCCAAGGCATGACTTGTGTCTATGGGGCAGAGGTAACATGTATCAACAACCTAAGGGCCTGCCTTGTAATGATCCTTCTGCCTTAGCCTGCCAAGTGCTGAGATTACAGGTGTGTACCTCAGACCCGGCAAAAAATTATAAATTTTGAGTATTCATTAACTTTGTTTTAAATTTTTTTGGATTCATTTATTTTTATTTTATGTGTATGAGTGTTTTGCCCACATGTATGTAAGTGCACCACACAAGTGAAATGCCCACAGAGGTCAGAAGAGGGTGTCAAATCCCCTGAAACTTGAAGTAAGAACAGTTGTTAGGAGCCACGTGGGTGCTGGGAACCAAACCTGGTCCTTTGCAAGAGCAGTCAGTGCTCTTAATTGTTGAGCTATTTCTCCAGCCCCTCATTAACTTTTTTCTGTTAATTGTTAAAAAAACAATTTACAGTTGTTTTTTTAAGGATTATTTTTTACTTCTTATATTATATGTGTGTGTGTATGTGTGTGTGTGTGTGTCTATGTGTACGTATGTGCATGTGAGTGCAGGTGCCCATGGAGGTCAGAGGCTTTGGGTCCCCCTGGAGCTAGAGTTACAGGTAGCTGTGAGCTGCCCAACATGGGTCCTGGGAATCAAACTTGGATTTTGAGATAGCAAATATAGTCCTCTGAAATAACAAGTGCTTTTAACTTACTTTCCAGCCCTATAATTTAAGGGTTTTTTGTTGTTGTTGTTGTTGTTGTTGTTGTTGCTTTGTCTTTTGGAGACAGGGTCTCCCTGTAGCCCCAGTTGTCCTGGAACTCACTATGTAGACCAGGCTGGCCTTGAACTCAGAGATCCGCCTGCCTCTACCTCCCAAGTGCTGGGATTAAAGGTATGTGCTACCATGCCAGGCCTAATTTAAGTTTTTAAACAATGGTTGTTTAATGCCATCTTGCAAAATTCCTGAAAATTTAGCAACCACCTTCTATAAGCTAGAATTACTATATCTATATAAACTATAAAATTAATATAGCATCAGCAATAACAAATAAAAAGAGTACAATGTTCTTCACTTCTGATTGAACAAGCTTAGTCTGTATAGTTTTCTTGAGTCCTGATTGCCCTTAGAAATCAGAGATCATAAAATCTCTCATATACTTTGAAAGTCAGAATTACTTAGGCATTATGGTTGAATACAGTTAATTCAGACTGTAATCATTCATTTACTTATTTGTTAAGCTCTGTGTTTGTGCCAGGCACAGGGCTGGCTGGAGTATCATCCTGCTAAGTTTTTAATCATGGCCTAATTATCACTGAACATTTTTGTGTGTATGCATGCTTGTATGAGTGTGGGCACATATGTGAGTGTACATGCACATGTATATACCTGTGTGGGGAAGCCAGAGGACAATGCCCCATGTCCTCCTCAATAGTTATCCACCTTCTATTTTGAGGCAGGGGCTCTCACTTGAACTCAGAGCTCCTTAGCTCAGCTAGTCTAGTGAGCCAGCTTGCTCCAGAGAACCCTTGCCTTTCCTTCCTGCATGATGGGATTACAGACAGACCACCACGTTCAGAGCCATTGCATTATCCACTGAGCCATCTTCTCAGTCCACCATTGGACATTTTATGTTCAATATATTGTAATCTATAGTATACTGTACTATGTGTGCATATATAATCTACATTCCACGAGGGCAGAGGCTGTTTTAACATTGTTTTCTCTTTCTAAAATAGCGCCTCACATACTATAAACATTTTTAAAGAATTTCATGGAAGAATTTTAAATTGAGTGCAATAGGGGGCTGGAGAGATGGCTCAGCAGTCAAGAGCACTTGCTAGTCTTGCAGGGACCAGGGTTCAGTTCCCAGCATTCACATGCTGGCTCACAACTGCCTGTAATTCCAGTTCCAGGAAATCTAATGCTCTCTTCTGGCCTCCTCAGGCTACTGCACATGTGTGGTGAATACAAACTCACACAAGCAAACACACATATAAATAAATCTTAAAAAATAAATGTAATAAGTGGAATTTCAATAGTTGAAAATAAGTTACTGACTACAATTTACAACAGGTCAGGCACATTATTTTAATCTTTAATTTTCTTCTATTTCTGTACAGAAAATGGGACGACATGGCACCAAACATAATCATAGCACATTGTAAACACTCCATGAATGGGTGCTTTTCTGATCAAAGAACAGTAGGTACTAAACACTTCCTATTTGGTTTTGAAAAAGAAGTTACTGTATTCTCAGAAGAATAAGATATTTTATGAACTTTTATTTTCTACTAAAATTTGAGGTAAAGGGCCTATCGTGGTTTGAATGAGAAATGTCCCACGTAGACGCATGTATGTGACCACTTGGTCCCCAGCTGGTGGTGCTGTTTGGGAAGGCTATGGAATCCTCAGGAGGTGGAGCCTTGCTTGTCAATGGTGGCAAGCTTTGAGGTTTTTGAGCCTGGACTCACTTCCTGTTCTCTCTCTCTGCTTCCTGTGTGATGAACCAGGTTCAGACTTCTGTCACCAAGCCTTCCCCACTATGCTGGACTGTTCCCCTTTAGAATGGTAAGCCCAAATAAACCCTTTCTCCACAAAGTTGCTTTTTCACAGGGTGTAAACTCACAGCAACAAAAAGGTGACTAATACAAGTTCCAACTAAGAAATGATTAAAATTAAAAAAATGAAAATGTTAACTAGCGCCTATGCAATTCTTGAATCAACATCAGAAGGCAGTTGACTTTTATGCTACTCTGTCTTTGAAAGGTGATTAAGCTTAGAAATGCCACGTTTTGTTCACATTAGAGACAGTGATGTCCCACTACCTCCATATGTAGGTGTAGGCAGTTACCTCAAATTCTTTCAGGAATTCTTCAGCTCTGAGGCTGTCGTTCAGGTTGCTGATGTTTTCTGCCAGCTGTGGGAGAGAGTTGTTTGACCATCCATCGATCTCCTCTTTACTTGAAAGGACATCATCCCAGATGGACAGGCTTACCCTCAGCCTATCCATGTTTTCTTCAATTTTCTCAGATACCTGAGATAGAAAATAGATGTCATGTCATCAATGTCATAAGGCTCTAGAACACTTACTCCCCTATCAATGCTTTTGTGATTAGAAAAATTATATCCCAACTGACAAGGATTTTTTAAATTACATATTAATTAGTGCACCTGATTAAATGATGACCAAAAATTATGTCCATCAATGGGAGAGTTGTTTGAATTTCTGAGACATCCACTTTTCTTACGATACTTATGACAAAAGGTATATTGGAAAAACAACTCACTAGAAAGATGAGTTGTAGAGGACTGAGGTCTCTCTAGAGTAGGATTTTATTTATCTTCAAAGTAGCTTAATAAGTACTTTTATTTGTAATGCTAAGGTACAGAAAAGGGTGCTAAATAGATTTTGACACATCTGTAATATAAGAAAATACAGAGCATCCTCCCATATAGCCGGTAAGGGACAGGACTAAAGCCCAAAAATGTAAGTCTGATGTTCCTCATTATAAATCTGTAGCCTCATCACTTTATTATTTATTATGCTTTTCTATTCTATAGGATATTGATAAATTGTTCTAATTTTACCTATAGTTCCTTTAAGAAGGAAAGCATTCTATGTTATTTGTTATGATTGAAGCTATCAAGTGAAATTCCAGAAATCTGTCAATAAGCTTTAGCAGAGTAACTGAAATCATTTTTACTATCTCTAAACATTATGCGAAGATGACTTTTGTTTATTTTGGAGTTAGAACTGAAAAATTCAAACTGGAATTCACATCTCTGAATAGTCCTTCAGAGTTTGACTGAGGAAGGTGTATGAGCCATTCACAGAATCTAGGGGGAGCGCTTACATCCAGCCACATGTCCACCATGCTCTCCATGTCTCTCTTCACCAAACTGAAATCACCACTGTGGATTTTTTTCAGCTCAGATAACAAGTGTTTGCCTTTGCTGGTAAAACTGTCCAAATCTTTCTGTTTAGAATTCATTTCATTCTTAGCAGCTTCATGCTGTGGACAAAAATATAAAACAACCTCTAATAAGGGATTAAAACCATTTGCCTCTAAAAAAGTTATGTTTGGCTTTATGTAAACATTAATGGTAATATATATATGCACACACATTTATATATATGCATATGTGCACTCAGTGCATGTATATATACATGTATATGTGTTATATGTATACATATATATGCTTTCTTGAACTATAAGAATCCTGGGATATCATTATTTGTAGGAAAAAAAGAGCTGTTGGCAGGAATTATCCACATGTACATGTACTAACAGGAACAGTTGTACAGAGGATTGCTTTAAGAGTACAAACATAGACTATTTAAATAAATTAATGCACTTGAATTTTACCTTGGCAAAAGCCCACTTAAGGTCCTCCTGGTCCTTGATAGTAGGTCTCATCGCAATGGCATTGTTAGAATTTTCCAGAACTTTACACACAATTGACTTCAAGTTCTGATATTCTCGTATCAAATCAATAAGCCCACAGCACTGACCCTGACTGTAAAGATTAAAGAAAATATCTCACTTAAGGTCACGTGTCAGGAAGGGAAAGGATTCTCTCAGGTAAGGGCTGGTAGGTCACCACAAGAATATATTCGGAGATGGGCACTGGAAGCCAGAGAAAACCACACTCTCCCTGCAGAGGTCAAAATGATGCTGCTGGCTGGGCTAATGAAGCTTAGTTCACGCTCCAGCATGTCCCCCAACTCAGACAGACTTAGCTGAATCCTGTGAATGTTTCAAGTTTTATAATGGCTTTCCACGCTGCTTTAAATATTTCCCAACGCTTTATGGGGTGAGTAACAATCAAATGAAGCAAAACCAAAGCAAACGAAACACAACTAAGTCATTAAAGCACATGAGTTTTCCCCTCGTCTAATTTACTGTAATAATTATTCACTGATATGATCTCCCTGGGAAATTTATCAAAAGCAGTAGTTTGGGTCAATAATCATGGGATTCCTTCAAGCTAACAATTTTACCTTTAAATTTTTTTCCATAGAAACATATGTGTACGCACTTGGGCAAATTTAGGTAAAATGATATTCTTCACACGCTTAGCTATAATAAGAAAAAAGATAAGAAATGATCTAAATGTTAAAAAATCTGTTTACTGACTGAATCAATTCTGATACGCTTTTGTAGCTGAATACTGTGTGATCTCTAAGAAATCATAATCCAGCAAGCATTTAAAAGCATGGAATGATGTTTATGTGACATGGTTGACTTTTTTAAAACCCCACATTAACAGTCAGCATTATGCACACTGCTCTCAGTTTTGTATTAAAGGCCTCTGTACTTGACGTCAGGGGGGTTGAAGCTCACTTCTTTACAATTCATATGGATAGTGAAATGTTCCAGCATCATTCACTGAAGAGAATCCCTCCATCAAATCGCTTCTGCTACATTATCAAAAACCAACTGACTAAGTGTCCGTGGGTGCATTTCTGGGTCCTATTTGGTCTATTGCTCCATAGTTAGCCTTCGGCTAAAAGTCAGTGATCCAGGTAATGTGAGTCCTGCAGTTCTTTTTCAAGAGTTAAAAACAGCTGGTTCTTTATGTGTATATGTTCATGTGTGTACATTTATATGTATGTATTTGCATGTGTTTCTGGAAGCCAGAGGTAGAGGTACATGCTAGGCATTTTCCTCAATCATCCTTCGCCTTAATTTTTAGACAGGGTTTCTCACTGAACTCGGAGTTGACCATTTCAGCTAGACTGGCTGGCCAGCAATCTCTAGGGATCCTTGGGTCTCTGCCTCCCGATGCTGAGGTTACGGGCGCACACCACTGCACACAGCTTTATGGGGTGCTGAGGACTGAACTCAGGTACATCATCCTGCAAACACTACCCACTTGGCCATCTTCCCAGTCTCCCCCTTTTTGCAAATTTTACTGACCACTTAAGGTTATTTTTACATATAAAATTTATAATATGCTTGTTAATTTCTACAAAACTTCTGTAGATGCTTTGATTGGGATTATATATTTTAAAAAGAACTCAATAGTAACAACAACAAAAACAATTTAAAAAAACAGCCAATTTCAACAAGTACTTCATCAAAGAAAATATATACAAATGGTAAATAAGAGTATACACCCATTATTATTAGTTACTAGGGAAATACAACTTAAAAACACAGCTAGATACCCCTATATGTCTGTTAGCACAGCAAGCAATCAAATGTACAAAAACCCGACAATAACAAGTGTTGGAATGATGTACATCTATTGGTGATCTCAAGTCTGAGTGGTGTGAGAGCAAGCTGGCATGTATACTTTTTGAGAATCGCTTGCTTCTTACACAGGTAAGCATATACTTACATGCAACTCAGGATCTTCCTTTCAAATATTCACCCAAGTGGAAGAAAAACTTACAGTACACCAAAACTCATGAACAAGAACGTGTGAATGCTTAGAGGTGCTTAATTTATAATTATCCAAAATAAAAAGACCTCGGTTGTCCATCAATTAGTTGATGGATTAACTGTAATGCCTTCATTCAATGGAATTTGCAAATATATAAATAAAAAATGAACTATTGATATGCAAAACAACATCCATTATGCTAAGTAAAAAAATGCCGGATTCTAAAGATTATATTCCCTGTGACTTTGAACAAAAGACCAAACTACAGATACAGGAAAGTGATTCAAAGCTGCCAGAAATGGGCTGAGGGAGAGAGATGAACTGCAATGAAACATTAGGAAATTCTTCCAGAGTTAGAACTGTTATCATGAAATTTGATAGTTAGGATCATTACACCACTGTATGAATTTGACAAAACTCATAGAATTCTATCGGGAAAAAAACGGAGAATTTAACTGTATTTAAAATATACCTCAGTTAAGTGTAACCTAAGAAAACAATCAAAGTTTAAATTCTCATCGTAACCTTTTAATGGCTGATAATTATTGCCTTGAAGCATTACTCTCACATGGAATTGTGACACCAAGAGAATCATCTTAATTGAGTTCTTCTGTAGGATCAAGATTTTAACGTTGCAACAGGCAACTCCTAACGTCAGAAAAGTACTTGGAAGCTTTAATCACAAAATCAAGATGTTTCTTACTTTTCGTGAATCAGTTTTTTAGTGTCGTCCCAGGCGACTTCCAGGCGGTTTACCTCCCTGTCGACTTCAGGAGCAAAGGCAACATCCTTCTGGGCAATCTGCTTCGCTTTGTCCTTCAACCAACAGAGCTCGTGCTCATGGGAGTTCAGTTCGTCTTCTAGTTGGTTAAACACTCTTAACCTGAAAATTCACATGTTAGTTTAGGTTACATCTGTAAAAGTGATGAACTAATATTCCTTCTCCCCAAGTGCATGAGTTCAGAAAGCCCACATTAACATAGCTAGAAAAAAAGAATTCCCTATGTAGATCAGGCTGGCCTCCACCTTATAGAGAACTGCACCCTGCCCCCAAGTGCTGGGATTAAAGACATGCACCACCACACCCAGTTTAGAAAAACTTTTAACACAGAAATTAAACTAATGCATAACTGATAAAGAGGTGATTGCACTTCAGAAAATGTTAAAAATCACTTTTCATTCTTTTATTAAGAAGAAGGCTAGTATTATATGTCAAATAGGTGAATTCCTTTTCAAGGTCACTCCTTAGGAATCCATCTGAGGTCTGAGGTCCAGTTCACATAAATAATTATACCTCATGAGCACAGTTGCTGCATTCAAACACAAAATAACTCTTCCAAAGCTCTGTGGAAAACAACTAATGTGAAAACTTAAATTATCTCCTTAAAGAAGAGATTATCATGAGAAAATCATCATGCTTTAATGGTGTCCCTATATATGAATATGTGAACATCTGTGAAACATGGATACACAGAAGAGCTACCGACTCATGCTGGTGTGTGGTTTTGTGCTGCAGTGTACAGTAAGTTCACATGCACATTCCATCTCATTTCCAGAATGTCCTGGCTGCAGACAGGTCTTCCTATGATCTCTATCCTTCAAATTCCATGTAAAGTGCCTACAGCAGCACAGGGAAGCCTCTGTTTGGCTGGGATTGGTAAATGCAGAAATTCATTGCAACATTTTCTCAACCAATGTGTGCTCTCAATGGATTGGAGATGATGATAGGAGTTAAAAGTCGGCAAGAACCATTTGTCCAAGTTGACTGGTTTCTGTTTAGAGATTGTAAGAGTTATTTTTTCAATCATGTGTATAGGTGTCTGTCTGTGTGTGGGTATATGCACATGTGTGCAAGTGCCTGTGGAGGCCAGAAGAGGGTGTTGGATCCCCTGGAGCTGGAGTTCCAGGTGGCTGTGAGCCACCTGATGTGGGTCCTGGGAGCTGAACTCAGGTCCTCTGCAACAGCTGTATGCATTCTTAACTGCTAAGTCATCTCTCCAGCTGCTGTCTTCAGTTTAAATGTCACTGTGCTAAGTTCCTTCTACAAGAAGAAACCATTGCCATCTGCTGTCTACTCTCAAACAACTTGAACCATGTTTTTTTTTTTTTTTGTCTTTTTTTGAGACAGGGTCTCCCTGTAGCCCCAGCTGGCCTGGAACTCACTTTGTAGACCAGGATGGCCTCGAACTCAGAGATCTGCTTGCCTCTGCCTCCCGAGTGTTGGGATTACAGGCATGTACCACTGCACTGGCTGAGCTTGCACCAGTTTTAACCTGAGCAAAAGTAATCTCTTCAGAAGAAAGATCTCAACATATGTTTGGATCTCTGCCTATATTCTTGTTAGAGAAGGTGAATCCTTCTCCTACTAGTGAGAAATTGCTTGCAAATAGATAACATGATCTACAGGCTATCCTGTAGATAAGATTTCAGCATTGCTCATATACTGGCCTTAGGAAGATCCTTAAAGAAACCAAAATAACTTTAATACTTGCCTATCAAATTATTTTTACCTGAGAGAGAGATAAAGATAGAAAAGAGAGAGAGGGAGTTGTGTTAAAGCTTTGCACAAAAGTTAATTGCAGAAAAAGACAGAAAACAGAGGACAGTGGCGTCCACCCATGGCTGACCTCTGCTGCAGCGCGGGGCGGGTGGGTTCTCTCAACCGCTCCTTCTCAGCCCTTTCTTCGATGTCCTCGATGCTTTTCAGTAGCTCCTCTCTCTGCTCTTGGAATGCTTTTTTCAACACAGCCAAGGCATCTGCCTCACTCTGCTTGGTTCCCAGAAGGTTCTGGATCCTTTCTACTTCTGCACAGAGCTGGTCAGCAGTGGCTCTGCAGGAAGTCCTCTGCTCAGTGCTCTTGCTTTTCAGGTGATACTGGGCTTTGGTAAGGGTGCCATCAAGACTGATAGCACTGGATTCTAACTTTTTCATATCTTGAATGGCGTCGTTAAGGTCTTGTTTTAAGGACTCTGACTGCTTCTTATTCATGCTGCTGGTTCCTTCTACGGTTTGCCTGAGCCGATGGAGAAGAGTGGACAGAGATGCCTGGCTCCGGAGGAATTCTGCTAGTTGAGATAGAGCCAACTTCCGCCTCTCCACGACCTGGTTGGCCTCCTCAAAGAGCTGGAAGCAGTCATCTGCCTTGCTCTGGAGGAGGTGGAAGTCCTCAGCTCGGCCCAGAGACTGCAACTTTGCTAAGTGACCTTGCAGACTCTGCAAGTCTCCCTTTTTGTTCTCTATTTCTGCAGCGTGGTCCTGGACGGGAAGAGGGTTACTGATTGTCAGACACTACAATGGTGAGAGATAGATGTCAGGGTTTTTGATGTGAAGATAGACATTACGTGCCATGGATAGCTTAGTATTAGCTTATTTATAATTTTTATGTTTCATTTCTTTGTGTGTACTGTGTACACTTGCTCATGTGTGGATGCACATGTGTGCACATGCATGTGGAGTCTAGAGGTCAAGGTTGGTTGTTTTCCCCCATTGCTCTCTACCTCAGGGCCTCTCAGTGAATTTGAAGCCCATTCATTCAGCTAGATTGGCTGGCCAGTAAGCCCCAGGGACCCTCCTGTCTTTGCTTCCCTAGAACTGGGATTACAGGCACACACCACTATGTGTGGCTTTTTTTTTTTTTTACATGGGTGCTAGGGATCAAACTCTGGTCTTGATGCTCACATTCACTGAGCATCTCCTCAGCCTCTAGGCTAGCAGTTACAAGTCATCCACGGTGAACTTTCAGAAACACTCAGAAAATTTTCCATTTTGCTCATCCGTACATTTCATATAGAACACAGCTCTGATTTAATTATTTTCCAATCAGGGCCGTGTTTCAATTGAGACAACTGTATAGGAAATTTGACCAGCTTACAATAAGTCATGGTTAAAATCCAACAGAAAATTGCCAACAACAGGAGCATGGCTCCCATTAAAGAAAAACTACTACCCATGATCAACCTTAATGGCTTTAGAGACTCCTCAGTTTGACTTTTAAACTTTGCACAGCTTCTTTCTTCATCACTCCAGGTTCCTAAACTCTTTTCTCAGGGCGTTTACCCTAGAAAATGTGCCCAAGTAAATCTACTCTCTCTCTACCCCTTTGAGATGTAAATCTTTTGAAAGCCTCAAGTTTAGTCAGATACAAGTATCCAGTCTCTTTGAAGTATAAGCAATTTAGCCATTGCCTTCTTCTAAATTGTAAAGCTGCTTCCTTTCCAGAAGACTAGAAAAATTTTCTTTTTCTTTTCTTAGAGGTAAAGTAGAAACCCAGCATAGAATGAAGACTCAGCAAATATCAAATGCTTTGTCTTTTAATGTATTATGTGCATAGTTTTTAGTGTTTCCCCACTACCCTAGTACTTAATGATAATACCTGAATTTTAATTTTTTTATGATACCAGGGTAGATATTTTGGCAAACTGGCAAATAATAGAAATATTAATAAGTCACAAGTTTTTATTTTCTAAAAAAATATTTTATTATTTTTATGTGTATGAGTATATTGCCTACATGTAGGTAAGTGCACCATGTCATGCAATGCCCTCGGAGGTCAGAGAGGGTGTTGGATTCCCTGAAACTGGAGTTTCAGACAGTTTTTAGCCACCAATTGAGTGCTGGGAATTGAACCTGGGTCCTCTGTAAGAGCAGTCAGTACTCTTAACTGCTGAGTCATTTTTCCAGCCCCAAGTCATAAGTTTTAAACCACCTTCAAACTAAGTGGTTACATTTTTAAAACAAGCTTTTAAAGTATTGTAATTTGTATTAGCTTTGAGTTTTGTAACAAAACAAATTAGAAAACTTAAAAATGGGCATTCTTATCACTTAATTCTACAAATTACTTGGCCCACCATAAGCAAACAGTTTCTTACTGGAGTTTTCAACCTTTTTACCTGAAGTGATTTTATCTGTTTAATTTATTTGCATAACACATAGGCTGGACCTATATGTTCAATTATTAAGTCATTTTCATATGAATAAAAAGTTAAATTGCTGCCAAGTATGTTTCAAAGTGGTGCATCCCTTTTAATTCAAGAACTCTGTTTTCGGAATAAATATGCCTTCAGTCTTGAGAGAAACACTTACCTTGTGCCGAGTAAGAGCCACCTGATGGTCCATTAAGCTTATCTCTGAAGTAGTTTGTAGTTCACCAAGAAATAGCTTAATCCAGACAGAGAAGGAAAGCAGCAGCTCATCAAACTGCTGGTGTTCAGCCACAACAGACTGAAGGAAATTAATCCTACATGGAGAAATGGGTTTTAAATGTCCCAGTATTGAACAGAATGAGTTCATGCTTTATTTTGGGAAAAGAGACTTCCCCAGAACAAAATGAATTTCTACATGGACAAGACAGGCCTCTGGACATACTCAATTTCCCAAATGCTGCTCTCCTCATGATTTGGACAGTGAACACTGTCCACTCTGATGGGCCATTCTTCCTCCCTCCAGGCTTCCCCATCATGACTATATTGAGCTATGCCTATCATTCAGGCAGCACTGCACATGCATGGGACCACCACGTGCACAGTACCTCTCCTCTTGGCCCTGTTCCCACTTCCCAACCCAGTCTGAATCTCTTCATTCCTTACCTGGCATCCAGCAGTGTCCTAAGCTGACAATCATGTTGCCTCTGCCTCCCTACTGACCACTCTAGGGATCATGGCTAGACATGAGTTCTTGAGGTTAGAGTATTCCCTGTCATGATTCCACCTTACTTCCTACTGCACTTAGGAAGGCAAAATCTCCAGTGTCCTTTCTGCGGCCTCTCAGAGTCCCTTATGATTTCCTCCTTACTTGCCCCATCTGATACAACTTGCCCCACATTCCCACTGACCTCTCTTGTACAACATCCCAGTACATTTCTGCCATAGAACCTTGGCTCCTTTGCTCCCTCTGCCTGTGTGCTGGGAGTCCAGAGCTGCCTTAGTTTGACAATAGCACACAGATGTTAAGATGGCTGGCCTCTCTGGAGCACCCACGCTGGAGATGCCATACTCTGTAGTTCCTGCCAAGTTGCTTTATTTTGTTATCTTCTTACTTATAACCAGAAACAGTCTTGTTCATTCACTTGTTTAATGTTATATCTATCTCCCCAAGCCCAGTCTTGCCCCTCTTCCCATTCCACAAAAGTAAGAACATTTTTTGCTTTGCTAACCACATCGAGAAGGCTGCTTGCAATACTTCAGGGAACAATCAATGCTTATGCAGTAAATAAATTAGTTGATTAATAATAGGTAATTGGGGAGTAGAATCTAAAACTGGGACTAAAAATATTAGCCTTAGTTAATTACAGTGGTCTGTATTTAGAGTTCAAGTTTTAAAGTGATTTTCAATTTTAATCCTTGTAAAATGTATATACTATCCTCATGTCCTAGTTAGCTTTAACCATCAACTTGATACAAGCTAGAGTCATCGAAGAGGGAAAACAAAAACAAAAACAAAAAAACAAACAAAAAACTTGTGCTAAGGAATTATATAGATCAGACTGGCCTGTGGTCATGTCTATGAGGGATTGTCTTGATTGTTAATTGATGTAGGAAGGCCCAGCTCACTGTGGGCAGCACCATTCCCTGGGTAAGTGGTCCTGGGGTATATAAGAAAGTAGCTAAACATGAGCCAATGAGTGAGCCAGCAAGCAGCTTTCCTCCATAGTTTCTGATTCATGTTCTCACCTTAAGTTCCTGGTCTGATATCCTCAGTGATGGACTATGACCTGGAAGTGTAAGCTGAAATAGCCCTTTCCTCTCTTAAATTGCTTTTGGTCAGAGTGTTTTACCAGAACAATGGAAAGCAAACCAGAACACTACATACATAACAGTTGAAATGCCTTCACACATTTGTGTTACTTTAAAATTCCTTTACTTTCTCCCCAGCATGCAGGGCAGATCCTGCTTTGTTTTAAGGGAAATTGCTTATCTTTGACACGTCATGGATTTTTCTGCAGGCCTTTCCTGCACCCATTCAGAGTCTTTCTTTGCTGTTCCCACCATGTCGTGCTCACCCCCGGCCTGGGCTTCTTGTTATACCCACCCTGATTTGTAAAATACCTTTGTCACATTTTATTTTTAAGGCTCCAGCATATGGTGTGGTGCCTGGCATGTGGCAGGTATCCCAGTCAAGGTTTGTTGGTTGACAGAAAAATGAAAGAATTAACACTAGAATAAACGAAGGCACCCTGAAAGTGGTCTCCACAGCCTAGAAACAGAGATTCATTCTAGAAACTCAATAAACATTTGCTGAGTGGGTGAACTTCAAATAGTCAGAGGTTTATGTGTATCCAGAATCACATTGGTAATCAATATCAGTTAAAGGGATAATTTGTTCTTTTAATTAGAGACACAAATGTCAATTATCAATCATCTACTTAATCAAGATGTAATCTATTTTCGAGCCCATCTCTCCTCCTAGCCTGGGCACTGGCCCATTTCTTGTCTTGGAAGCCCAGATCTCTGTACTGACCTCTTGGCCCAAACTCCCCAACTGTTTCCTGATCCTTTGTATCCAGACCAACCCAATTCCTCCCTGTAGTCCCTGGGGGGTCTTGGGGCCTCTTCCCACCCCTACCTCCCTTTGCATCCCTGGTTGGCCCAGCCCCCCAAATTCCTGAGGCCAGCATTCCTGGAGGGATCCAGATCTTAGGAGAAAGCCTGAGAGCCTTCCTGGGGCCAGCATCTTTCCTGGGCCCTGGTCCTAGGCCAGTCCAGACCCCAAATTCCTGAGGCCAGCATTCCTGGAGGGATCCAGATCTTAGGAGAAAGCCTGAGAGCATCTGACCCTCATCTGACTTGGGCCTCTGTGGGAACTCCTGAGCAAGAACAAAGGAATTTGGCCCCTCTAATATAAAATCAAAAGAGAGAACCTGAAGCCTAGATCAATAAGTTTTTTGCGCCCAACAAGTAAACCACAAAGGCACATAAAGTTTACAAAAAGAAGCAGACCCCAACTCAACAAAAGAAGGCTTGAGTCTCACACAAGAATCATAAACTACAAAGAAATCCATATGTCAGTCACAGAGAAAAAATAATAACACAAAAAACTCAAATAATATATCCCCATCAAGCACCAAAAGTCCCGCAGAGGAATAAAATGAGAACCCCCTAGTGATAACATAGGACATGGAATTCAAAGGAACAATTAAAAACATGATAAAAGAACTCAGTGACTTTAAAGAACACACAAAGAACTGAAGGAAGATAGGTATAAACTTCTGAATGAATTCAGAAAAGAGTTATAAATATTGAAGAATGCTCAGGCTGAAATGAAGAAGGAAGTGAAACACTCAGTAAGACAAATAGAAACAACAGGAGAAAGCCTCAACAATAGGATGAATGAAATGGAAAACGGAATATCAAGACTGGAAGATAAAGTAGATGAATCAGCCCACTTAAGCAAAAATTATGAAAAATTTAAGAAATCACGAGAATAGAATATGCAGAAATTGTGTAACAACATAAGAAGACCAAACTTACGAATCATAGGCATACAGGAAGGAGAAGAATCCCAAGATAATGGTATGGACCAGATTTTCAACAGAATCATGGAAGAAAATTTTCCAAAATTAAAGAAAGACATGTCCATACAAATACAAGAAGCATATAGAACGCCAAACAGACAGGACCAGAAAAAAAAAAAAAACTCTCCATGGCACATTATAGTAAAAACACTAAACACACAGAACAAGGAGACAATACTGAAAGCTGCAAAAGAAAAACAACAAGTCACATATAAAGGAAAACCCATCAGAATTACAACGGAATTTTCAGTGCAAACTATGAAAGCCAGAGGAGCCTGAACCAAAGTATTCCCAATTTGTAATGACCACAGATGCCAACCCAGTTTACTTTACCCAGCCAAAATGTCTATCATAGTTGAAGGGGAAAGAAAAATCTTCCATGACATAAATAGACTGAAAGAATTCATGTCCACAAAACCAGCCCTTCAGAGAGTTCTTGAAGCAACACAAAGAGCTGAAGAAAGGAATGGCCATACCCAACATATTACAGAAAGAAACATAATGAAGGTATAACTACGGAAGTGCACAGCTACACCAAGAATATGAACAGAAATAAAAATGACAGGAAACAATACACATCTTTCATTAATAACTTTAAATATCAATGGACTGAACTCTGCAGTCAAAAGATACAAACTAGTTGAACAGATTAAGAAATAAAACCCAGCTTTTTGTTGTCTGCAAGAAACTCATCTCACTTTCAAGGACAGGCACTACCTTAAGGTGAAAGGATGGAAAAAAA